GGGATGACCCCAAACTCTAATGTCTTTTTCTCCTTTTTATCCACACCATGCATAGTTTTGAAGTTCTCTATCATATCTTCCCTGATTTGGCTTTTTTCTAAGTTAAATATTCTCAACTTGTGCAACCTTTCCTCCTAGTGGAATTCATTCAACCTCTTGATCATTTTAGTTGCTCTTCTCTGTACTTTTCCAACTCTACCATGTCCTTTTTTGGGTTTGGTGATCAGAACTACAGGCAAGTTGTATGAATCCACCCAACATCTCCCAGCCTAATGGAATTATTGTAAGAGGACAATAGAAGGGAAAACCACATACATATTCTTGAGTTCTTTGGAAAAAATGGATATACACACAAAATATATAACTAGATGCAGTGTGCCGTGAAAATGGAATATTCAGCTATGAGACCTTCAAAACAGGCTGTGAATCTGCCAAGTCCAGCATGAAGATGAGCGCTACCAGAAAAGCAGTTGGACTCTGATATTTCTTAGGCCATGTCCAGATACTGCCTGCTCACCAAAATTCAGCACTGATTTCAATGTATATTTTCACATATGGTTTCAGGGGCTGGACCATAATGTTTATCCACAATGGAAAAAAACAGTTTGGTAAATGAAAACAAATCTGAAAATATTTGGAGACCTTTTATTGAATATGTTTTAAGAAAAGGAAAGGGGTGTGAACCACCACAAGGGTCAGTGCAGTTCTGGAAGGGAAGCAGGGCAACCTGAATGAATACATGATCTTACATTAAGGAACTAGAGTTGTTGGTCATGGTGGAGGTAGCATTGATATGAATGTATTGTTTAATTATGTTTGTTAATAACGTTTATGTTGATTGTTACTATATTAATTGTATTGGTTTTGCAAGTTTAATAAAAAATTTAAAAAGCACAATGTTTATCCACTTCATAGGATGCAACAATCTACTAGGACTATGTGGAGATGTGCTGCCTGGATTGGCAGAAGGAAACAGAACACTTGTTATGAAGTATTCTTGAGGTTTTTGCTTTGCAGCTGTTTTGTTTCACTTCTTTAAAATTCTCATTCTTGCAACTTAGCCTCCTCCATTTTGAAACACTTAAAGGAGAAGATTATTAACTAGAATAGAGCCAAAAATGAGGCAAAATGTAAAAGCCATAGGTCATCTGTGAAGTTGTGCAACAGGCAGCAATAGTCCATAGCATACCAAGTAAGAGCGATTATTAAACACACAGAGACCATCAACTTTAGTTGAACTTGTTCTGCTAATGCAAGGAGAAAATGTATGGCAGATATTGTGAGCCCTGATCTCACTGGCATAAAGAATATTTGTGCTCCACGGGACAGTGAGAAACAGTCGATCTACATAGCAAAAGCATTTAGGAATCAAAGCTGACTTTGGATGTGTTTGTGCTTTAACCTGACAGTAATGTTCCATAAGCTACCACAAGGAAGCTGAAGGAGGTATATCTGTGTAACATCTTCTATGCATACATAGTAGGTTTAGTTGACAGTGCTAAGGAGACATTTAGAGCAAGATACTAGCATAACTTTGCTTACTCATGTGCATATCCAGGCAAAATAATCCCAAATATATTTAGCAGTCAGTGCTTATCTGTTTGATTTTAGATACATTTTTGGCCAAAGTTGGGAGAATCAGTGGGTCTTTACTCATCAGAGTTCTCAGCACTCCCATTTCAAATTATTGTTTGAAATTGGAAGGTGCAGTTTAGTGCAACATTAGTGCATAAGCTAAAACAAATTGTGTTTTCTTCCCAAAATGTACTTTTTGAAAAACACACATTGTTCTAACAAATGCATTTTATGAATGCAAGCTCAAGTACGGAAATATGCAAGCTTTGCCCAAAAAATGCAGTCTTGTTTGGCAGTCTGACCAGGACAAGTTCTGATGTTTAATGAACTGAAACAAAATTCTTGTAGTCTCCAACTCACATTTCATCTCCAGAATGCTGAACTTAGAAGTAGTCTAGATAAATTGTAGAAACTGGAGCCAAATGCCTCTGTGATCGTGTGCTCCCTTAATTCTTTATTTTTGCATTGAATAGCGGAGCCTTTGAGCTTTTATATGGAATAGGATGTGCTTGGATTTAATGACAACATGTATATTATTGACACTGTTCAAACATTGTAATGGCAATACAGGCTAGTAGGTGAAGCTTTAGCTGCTTTACATGTGGCATCTTTAATATATGGATACTGTGTCCAGATGAATTCATCCTTATGGAGTTAGGAGGTCTAAGGTTCAAATCCCTGTTCATTGTAGAGTTTGTCTGGTGGCCTTCAGCAACACTGTCATGTATAGTTCCAAATCTACATATTGGGGTTATTAAAATTTCATATCCTGCCTCTTCAGATATTGAAAGCTTTAAAAGCTTAAAAGCTTATGCATTTTTCTTTGCAACACAAGGAATCAAATAAGACACAACACTGATGGCTTGATGTATAACTCCATTATATCAGATATATATTAGAATGAAGAGTCGTTTCAGTTTTAGCAGTACAGAAAAGGATATTTCACTGGACTATACTAGGAATAAATCACCAATAATTTCATAGGTGATGCTTGCAGTCTGATGTTCTACTACTGGCAGGAACAGCATATATTCTACCAGAATGGGTACTTGGTGTGTATGCAATACCCCCAGTATTGCTATCATCACCTTGAACTGCATAACAAGCTGAAGCTGATAGATGAGAATGATTTGGGGAATTATTTTTCTTTCCTGCTATTTATGGTTCATCTTCCCCAACACAAAATGGTTTGCCTTAGGCAGCAATGAATTTCAGGATAATTGGTATATTGAAGGGTGGGATGATGCGCAGAAAAGAATTGAGGTATGGCACATCCTTCTACAATGTAAAATGTTTGAGGTGTATATGGATGCAGGTGATGGAGCTTTGCTGTTACATTGTCCAGGTTTCTAACAGTGCAATCTTGCACATGTTTACTCAGAGATAAATCCTATTCAGTTTAACCAGACTTCCAGCTAAGTGGATTTAATATTGTAGTCTACATGTCTGTTGGCAGGTGTGAAACCCATTGAAAATTCCTTGTCTTTTGAACTCCTGTTAGAATTAGGGTCCAGTTCCATGTGAAACACAACAAGATGCAATAGTGAATGTTCAACCAGTGTGAGATTTACATGTGAATTAACTCTGCTTATTAATTAAATTGACTGTATATTAATGATAGATACTTGTGCTTCCTCTAAGTGTATAGAGCAGGGGTCCCTAGTGTGAAGTGTGCTGGTGTCGCTTCTATTGGCTTCCATGAAGGAATTTCCATCATAGGACCTGTGGGCACCCACTTAAAGAGCAACCTCAATTTTAATGTATGCATATGGATTTTGGGAAAATGTATGCAACTTTATAAAAATTATACAGAAGCATAAACAAAAGAGGACCAGATCAAAAAGTGTTAAGTATTGGAAGTTGGTGTTTGTATGCATGTCACCCATTTATATACTGAAAGAGTTGTTAGGACAGGCCATTGCATAACAGGAGGTGTGTGTTTTTCCTTACAATTTTGTAATATGAGACTTTTAGCTATCAAAAGACCTTATAGAATTCATTTCTTCTTCTATGTGTTAATCTCCATGAAGCAGGTAAATAATTTAAAGGATTGTGTGCATCAGATATTCATGATTGTTCCACTACAAAATTTATTGTGTAATAACCTCTCCCCAAAATGAAGGAGTTACTGGACACAGGCAAAACATATGGTTTTGGATATATTGGATATATATTGGATATGTTGTATTGGATATATTGTATTGGATAAGAAGTATTGGATATATTGTAGTTCCAACAATTAGTTGAACTGGACAATCTCTTTTTAAAGAGATGTTGCAATGACCAAGGGATGTAAAACAAAAGGTTTTGCTGAATAAAATCTATATATGCAACAGGTAAATGCCAAAGCAAATATAAGGCTTTTTGTGTTGATAGCCGCAGACATGTTTCAAATTCTCACTGGTCCAAAAAGGGGAATCTTGTTATAGATACTGTAAATGTTTAAGAGTGACTGTAACATCACAAAATTGATCAAGACACAAAAGTAGAGGGCCATTTGCAGAATATTCAAGAAAGGGAAAAATTCAGGAATGGTTGGTACATCTAAGGAGATCTAGATACAGAGATTCATAATACCTGGAATTTCTTCCTTAAACTTAGTAAGGTTTTGTTTCCTGTTTGCCAGCCCCTGCCTTTGTCACATCACCCTCTCCCCATTTAAGCTGAAAATTCTTTAATACCTTTTTCTTCAGTCTCCCTTACTGTCTTTTGCCTGCTTTAACTGAAACACTGTGTCAGAAAGATTAAAGGCAAGGCAGTTGCATTTTTTATCCGTAGAACAGAAGTAGTGCCTGTCTTTTTTTGACTGCTCTTAAAAGTAGATATATTTTCAAAAGTTGTCACTTTGCACATTCACCAGTCACACCACACATGTCTGGCACCCTAGAAAGTCACCTGGATTGCCTGCCTCCAAACCCAGCCCTGGTACAAACTCAACTGCTGCGAAATAATGGATAGTTAAACCCTTGGTTCCCCACTTAGATTGGGTTGTGGTTGTGACAAGAAGGTGATCCTTTGCATATGGAGTATTGCCTACATGCAGAACAGAAGTTTGAAACTGTCCAACACACTGGAATGGTGGATGGAGATGGGTCGGCTGGTGTTCTTACATGAATTGGATTCATCTTACAGCTTTCTGGTTGTTGACATTTTAAATAAATTAATAGACAACTCCTAACATGCTTTTGTAATAGGATTTCTCTGGGTGTGCATGTTTGGTTGTGTTTTAATGAGAGGAACTACTCTCACCAGCAAAAATCTGCTACTACTTCATCTTTGGGTCAGACAGGGCGGAGAGGTGAAGGACAGGGAAGATACTTTTTAAACACACGTTATTTAGTATTAGCTGGGCTTGCTGATGGTGGAAAAGGAAAAGATGAGAAAATGCCATTTCTTAGTCATTATTTCTTCTTTTTCTCTTTCAGTGAGTATGTTCTTGAACACATTAACTCCTAAGTTCTACGTTGCCCTAACAGGCACTTCCTCATTAATCTCAGGGCTTATTTTGGTAAGTACCAGATAATCATTCTGCATTTTCTAAATTCACATCTGTAATACTTTGCAACATTAATTTCTACATCTACAAAAAATTTATCTTTGTTAGTATTCTTCTCTCAACCAACTGCATGTCTAGGTATTTAACAGAATTTGGGTTAATCACGAGCTTTGAAGTTGGTCTCTAACATTTCCAGAACAAAGACCTCCTGAGGCAGATTTTGGTGATGTCTTCAAGAAATGCCAGTTCTAAGAAGCATCTGCCATTTCCTGTGGCTCTACAGCAGTCAACATACAAGTAGTTTGGGACTGCAGACTGGGTTTTCAGAATAAAGTAATTGTCCAAATGAAGCTAAGCACTTTATGGTTCTAATGATTTCAGTAGGGGAGAGTTAAACATGTGTATATTTTTTCCTGTTGAGATCAGTGGAACTAAAATTAAATTCTGACCAGATTAAGGGACAACATGTACCCATATGCATAGCAGAAAACTAAGTTTGGCTCTACAAAAAAAAAACAAAAAGCATAGGTTATGTATCACACACCTAAAGAAGCTAATTTAGACTATCTATCAATCTATCTCTAATGTGGCCGGCCGGCTTCCTTCCTTCCTTCCTTCCTTCCTTCCTTCCTTCCTTCCTTCCTTCACTCCTCCATCACGAGCATCCAAAGGCCCCCACATTTTACCAACAGTGATGTTTGGGTTACATTAATAATGTTCAAAAAAGGGTAAAATATTGCATCTCATCTTTATTTTATTATCACTAACATATCTACCCGTTTATCATTTCCAAAGTCAATTGGCAATTCTGTTGCACTGTTCTATAGTTGTATTCCACAAGATCTGTTGTTTTAAATGTTTATCTTGTAAACAGTGTCAGGTTGAAAGGCAGAATGAATGTATTTTAAAGAAATAAGATGGATACAGAATGATCATTATCATTTGTAAAGGTGCAGGCTGGATAACTAATTATTTAGCATATAGCAGAGGCTTTGAACTTCCAGCCTGTGGGCCAAATCATTATTTTTGACCAATCCATTTTACTTTGATTCACCATAGTATTATGGCTCCTGAGAACTCCTCCGAGAAAATTTCATGTTCCTGGACTGTAGGAATTTTAAAAGCCCTGGCATACAGTAACTAGTACACTTTTATTCATAGAAAATTTTCACTTTAATACTTAAATTGAAAAATGTCTGGATTTGCCTTTTTTGTTGTTTTGCAAAAATGTTTATTATTGTTTGTGTCTTATACATTGTATATTTCCATGAGTATTGTTTTATTTCTGTAATAATTATTCTAAAAGTGTGACCATCTATTTTTATTGTTTAATTTACTTTGCTTTCTTAGAATCAGAGAGGAAGATGACTTCATGGCATATTCTGCTGTTCATAAATGTGACAAATCTTGATATAGTTTTATTTTTTTAAATAATCTGTTGAGTCCCCATCAGTTTAATGTGAGATAATACCCCATTATTCCTCATCTAGCTGAGATGCAACAGTTCTCATGTATTATCTTTTTTAATCTTTTAAAATAGTATCCTTTTAGTAAAGCTCTTTGCATCTTGAATCAAGCAAACATTAGCCAATGGAGATGTAAGCGCATTTAAAGATGGAAGATTTGATGTTAAATGCTTCTGTTCAAAAGGCATATTGCTGGCAACAAAACAAAAGAACCAAACACTTAAGAGCACATCATAGGAAAGTTACAGAGAACTACTCTGACATAGATCTTGTGATAGGCAGTCAAATCACCAAACGGCCTTATTGTTGTCAGACTTTTCACCCTTATTAAAATTCTTAGCCTTTTCATCACTAATGCACGCATCATTTCACAGTGCAGAGTTTACTGTTTTCCTAAATGCATACAGTCTGTGCACTTTGGCAGTGCAATTATCTGTAACAGCTGTTGACATTCCTAGCAGTCCCTTCCTATGCCCTTGCTGTCCGTAGCACCAAGTGCTGGGCTGTCTATGTGGGTACAAGGTGCACCAAGAGATTAGGGGCCAGCCCTGCATTGGAGCAGGAGCAGTCACAGGCAGAATTGGAGAAAGGGGTTGTGTTGCAAGGAAGAAGAGAGAATGAAGGAAATGCCCTGGGTATTGCACTATGGAAAGCAGACTCATTTCGCTTGGCTGTATTGTTCCATTTGGTCTGGTTAGGTGGTTTTGTTTTGTTTTTGGTTGGGAGTAGTCCTAGATACTACATTCACCCTCAGTGGGACTGCCAAGGCAGGGTCCTGGGGCCCACCCAGTATCTGTATTCAATTAATTAATTAATTGTGATATGGCCATTAGTCCAGACAACTCCTGGGTGGCTGCAGTATGGAAGGCTCCCTCTATAGCAATTATGTCCAAATTCTAGAACTGAGTATAGCACTGGGCCAGCTTTGCTTTCTTTCAGTACTTTCTGTCTATTGTTGTTGCCTCTTACATCTAATAGCTCAACCCTTTGACCTGAGATGAAGGATCTAAATTTGACATCTTGATGAGCCCTGTGTTTTTGCTGTGAAATATCTTACTTTATAACTAGCCAAATAAACAAACTAAAGCAGTGGAAAATCATGCCAACATTTCTATTGTAAGAACAGAAAAGAAAAGCCATCTGTGTTCTAGATATTCTTACTGGATCTGCAGACGCTTGCCAATCCCTCTTGCTACTTCGTACATGCTCACTGAAGAGACCTCTGAAGAATAACCATGTTTGCCCAAGTGGTTTAGCATCTTTTCTTGGCTTGGTATTTTGAAGCAATAGCATGATCATTGCTTTAATTAATTAATGTACCTTGGGTATTCCTTGAACTGTTTTTACCTCAAGGCACACAATGAGTCTTTAGAGTAACTCAGATTTTCTTGCAAAAGTAAACAAGTTTGTAGACCAGTTTACTCTTGTAAGAGAAGCTATTTTGTTTTTGTTTTTTTCCCAGATGCCTGAACAATTATGACAAATGAAATAACTTCCAAAAATGTTGCACACTTGACATTATACATAAACTTAATCAAATCAGTGAAAAATCAAGAGTAAAAAGAACTGTGAGCATATGTTCAAATAACCACAATACTGATAACTCTTAAGCTGGAAATGCGTTTCACATTCTTTATTATGGACTATACAATACATTGTGCTAAGAAACACTTCAGTGGAGGTAGGGGAAGTAACCACACCATTGTCTCTGCTTTTTCAACATTTTACTTAATTGATGGTTTACTATTGGATTTAGCATTCTGGCAATTGTATTACTTGATGTATCTTGTCATTTTGGTGTGCCAGTCCCTCTAACACAAATTTGGCATCATGAAATCATTTAATAATTTTAAATTTAAAAACCTCACATCTATGTAAAATAATTATTTAATAATAAAGATGAACTGTTTCAGTTGCTACTAAGCCAGGTTGCAAATGTGAAAACAAATAATAACTTTGCATTAAGCAGGGCAAAAAAGATTAAGCTTTTCTGGGTATAGGATGGGATGGAAGAAAGTCTATTTTCTGCCTGTGTCAGTTTTGCATAGATTCAGTTACAAGTCAGTTCCATCCAGTTTCTGGGAGAGATCTACTTTTGATCTCTTTTGTGTAGTAAACCATTATTTAGAGAATCTAAATAAAATACAAGAATATCAAACATAATCAAGCTAAAATATGAAAATATTAGGCTTAAGGAAGCCAACTTAATAAATACATGTCTTCTGCTTCTCTTTTAGATATTTGAGTGGTGGTATTTTCGCAAGTATGGGACCTCATTCATTGAGCAAGTCTCTGTGAGTCACTTGCGCCCTCTGCTGGGAGGGGTGGACAACAACTCTCCCAATAATTCAAACACAAGTAATGGGGATTCTGATTCAAACCGGCAGAGTGTTTCAGGTACGAGAATTCTTTTTGTTGTGTGCACATTGTTCACTGTAATAGTGAGTCTTTTGGACATGTGAGAAAGATCAATGCTTATTTTTAGGATTACCGACAGCAAATATATTCTGCAAAGAAGTATGTATTGGAATGTACTCTGAACTAACATATCTGTATAGAAGATGATACAACAGTACAATCTTAGGTAGATCTACTCATAATGAGTTCAATGGGAATTTCTGCCAGGTTAGTGAGTACAGAAGTTCAGACTTTACAGAACCGTCTTAAGCCATGGTTAGGGGAAGGATTTTTTTATGGTAGAGTTCTGCTGGTATAGGAGGTAGGGGTGTGGGTGGAGATTTTTTTGTTGTTTTCCTGGCCACCTGTGGGAAGGGAGAAAAATAGTGCTGGCTCCAGGTGTGGGGGTCCAGTCCATGGACATGTTGGCAGTAAAAGAGTGCTTTGGCTTTGGAATGCAAAACTACCCCCACTGTGATCAGTGAACCTCCCAGTTTGGACAGTGTGGTTCACAGGAATATTGCAGGGGCTACATTTCAGTGGTAGGAGGAATCAGAGACAAAAGTGCTGAAGCCAAAAATACCAGCCTGTTTTACCACCAGTAACTGAGCCTTAGGAGATGGATTTCAGCCTTTTAAAATTTGGGGGGAGGGGGGACTGCACAAAAGCTGGGAAACCACCAAACATCAGAAAAAGGAGGAATGACATTCTGGGAACTCTGAAAGTCCAGACAGGACTTCCAGGTGGGCTAGATTTCACCTTCCAGTTGGGTTGAATTTGGTCTCCAGAGTGTACCAGAGCTGTATTGAGGGCTTCTGAGACAGACCCATTGTCCTTATTGCACTTCTGCTGCATCCCACAATCTTTCAGCCAGCCACTGGGAGGCATTTGAATAGTTTTACCCTTCATTATGATAACGTATCCCCTGCTACTGCTGTGTAAAAAAAATGAAAGAGTGAGAAAGAACAGTCCCTAAATAATCAACAGTTTTTTCCTTGAACGTTATCTCTGTTAGTTCCAAAAATAACTGTCTACACAGGGAGCAGAACAATTGCAGATTGTCTGCAATTCTGTGAGGTTAATTAGACCAAGATTAATTTACCAGTCCACAGTCACCCAGTGAGCTTCATGGCTGAGTGGGGACTAAAATCAGGTTCTCCTGCATTTCAGTCAGTCATTCTAGCCAGCATTCTACAGTGGCTCTCAGTTAATTGCCTTTGATTTAAAAACACCACTGGCAAAAAGTTACCCAACAACTAGTTTTGTTTTCTTTTTAATGCTTAGCATTTAAATGATGCTTTCTCCAAGTGCTCAAAGTGCTTCACATATACTTTACATATTTTACCCATCCTCCCTGCAACCCTTCAGACTAGTCACCATATTACAGATGGGAACCTGGGAGTGAGTGGATGATTTGAACTGGGAAGTGTAGTCAGAGTGTAGCTGATGTCCTTTAGAATTTCATGGTTCTTTTAGGTGCTTTGCTGAGCTAGAATGTGATCCCAGGCAGTGGCAGTAAAATCTCTGAATCACAACTGGTAGATCTCCGCAGGAACATTTCTACACTACTGTCAAATCCAATTCTTGAACAGAAAAAGGGACTTTGTTTTCTTGTAGTGAGAAATTCATGACATTCCAGCTGGATTCCAGAAAGGAAGAACTACAAATCAAATTCAAATCTGTCTGTGCTTTATAGACTATAGCAAATCCTTTGACTGTGTCGATCATGAGAAGCTATGGATGGTTGTGAAAGAAATGGGGGTCTCTCAGTATTTGGCTGTCCTGATGACTAATGTGTATCATGTACAAGAAGTTGCCATTAGGGCAAAATACAGAGAAACAGAACGGTTTCCCATAGGCAAAGGTGTCAGACATACAAGTAGGTCCTAGAACAAATCAAGCCAGAGCTTGTCCTTGATGCAAAAATGACACAACTATCAAACTTTGGTCACATCATGAGGAGGCAAGACTCCTTGGAGAAAACAATCATGCTAGGGACAGTTGGAGACAGAAGAAGAAAGCGAAGACCAAATAAGAGATGGATTGACTCCATCAAGGAAGCCACAGTCTTGAACTTAGAAGAACTGAGTAAGACTGTCATGGACAGGACATTCTGGAGAGCTTTTCACTTATGATGTTGCCATAAGTTGGAGAAGATTTGATGGCAGCAGCACCAACACAATTTTGAGGTGCATTTCTTAGTTCCAGCTGGGAGTTTATTATTCTGCCACCCCTATTGAAAGGATAAACATAACAAAATATAGCCAATTTAATACAGTGGTGCCTTGTACTTTGAACTTAATTAGTTTCAGGAGTCCATTAGAACTCTGAATCATTTGAAGTCTGAATCAACTTTCCCCACTAGAAATAATGGGAAGTGAATTAATCCATTCCCAGACCCTAAACAATACCCATTTCAATAAGCATAAACAGCAAAAACCACATAATTTAAGGTAAAAATAGCACAATCACAGACCAAAATTATTAATTCAGACTTAAAAACAACACACATAAATATGTACTGTATAATAAAATGAATATTGCATTTACTGTACTGCATGAGTGGTACTCAAGAGATGTTTCACAGTGAGAGATGACTTGGGCACACAACAGATGATGTTTATACAACAGCCACATTTTTTCACTGTGCAGTTCGAATATAGAAGCATCGGATGAACTTCAAAGCAATTTTATCTTGACTTTAGCATTCAAACTCTGGATCGTTCAAAGAGAATCATTGAACTACGAGGCACCACTGTATTTTTTTTCATTTTCTTGCTGTGAAGGTTCCTCTGCCAGTCAGTATTTATATACCTTGTTAGCACTTGTTTGGTTCTACTTTATGCAAGGTCAGTAGCTTGTGCTATTAATTTTCTTTTATGTCTCCACTCTGAGAACAGAACAGGAATTAAAGCAGCAGTTTATGGTGTATACTTTTCCTGATTTATAGTATTAACAAGACAATGTAATTTTACCAAATAAATAAACAGGTCCCTTCAGAGAATAAAGTAATTGCCTAGGTTTGCATTTTTGGGACCCCACATACAAATCCTCTCACTCTAACCATTGCACTAAAGTTGAATTGTGGCTGTAAATCACATTTGGTGAGTGGTTTATCTGGAATGAAATTATTCGGATCGTAAAAACTAATGGAAAAGCAATACCATTTAGCTTTCAATACCATTTAGTTGAATATTCAAGGTTCAATTTGAGGCTGGATGCACTTCTGGAGCATTGTCTGCCAAACAGTGTGTATATGGGCGGGAGCGGGGGTTATTGCTAGTTACCTTTTGACAGTCACGCAAAATATATGGAGGGCTTGTGTCCAGGAGAATGTTCTGTATGGAATGGACGCAGGAGTACTTTTCAGCCTTCATGCCTCCCCCCTCCCACTTCTTTCTATTTTTCTTCTGCTGCTCTGTTAATTATTCTTTGGGATCCTTCTTTGCATGTTTGCTTTGTTTTACTTCTTTATGGAAGGCTTTATCATATTTTGTTGTATGCATGAGTTCTATTCAGGGGTGGTTTTGTACAGGGAATTTTTCCTGATTCCCCCATGTCTACTTCACTTCTCTGTATCATCTTCCATGCTGTTCCAGAGGCTTCCCAAACCTTCAGGGGCAACTTTTTAGTGCATGCAGGCAGCTGCAGTGGATTGGTAAAAAACAAGAACTCCTAAAGTGTTTTTCTCCAGTGCAACGCCACTGTTCGTAACAACCAGTGTTCTCACTGTAGATTTAAATGCATGCTGCTGCTGCTGATGGTTATTATTATTAATATATTACAGGCATTTATATCCCATCCTATCGCCAAGCGCTCAGGGTGGCTTACAAAAATAGAAATAGAAATATTTCTAGTTCTTATCACATTTTATATTGCATAAATTGGTAAACAAGTTTCAGACTTCAAAAAATTCACTTCTGTGCTGAATTTAAGACAGGACAGGATTTATTAGGGTTGTTTCCTGGAAGTTGTTTCAGATAAATTCAGTGTTGTTTCCTGGAACCTCGATCCTACGTATCCTGCCTTAGCTGGGATCCTCCCTCTTACATGTAGGATAGAAAGTATATATGCTCACAGAAAACAGCAGCTGTGTTCGTACAACGTGACAATCATTCCTGCGTGGTTACCATGGTTCACAGTTTTTTACCATGTGATCTTCCCCAGAGAAGATCAAGGGGTTTCTACGTTATTGTGGCATGTATTCTATCCATCATGCTGCCTGAAATTCAGTCCCAAGGTGCATCTCTCCCTATGTTGCCTGCCTCTTCCTCATTGGTCCACACATAGAGGCTGGATGGCTGGAGCAGCTCCTGCAGTGGCTGCTCTGTCCAGGGGACTCAATTATAGTTGCATGCCAGAACCATAGAAACCACAGTCCTGGGTTTAGACAATATGACAATGTGATGCAATGAAGAAACCACTTAAGAAATTGTTGTTCCTTATTGTGGCTTTTAAGGAACAAACTTACCCTGATAAAATGATCACAACTGGATTCAGACAGCATGACAGACCAACAGTAGCAAAAAAAGGCCTGTTGTGTTGTCTGAATCCAGCTAGTGTTTTAGAGCATATATGTTGCCTTTCTTGCCCACTGAAACGTCATTGTCAGCTAGGACAGGCAGGGTCATTGTCTTTGATACTTATAATATATACTCTGGGCATGCACAGTGGTGGGGAGGGACCATAGATCATGCCTTGCATGCAGTATGCATGGTTCAGTCCCTGATATTTTTTAATTAAGTAGCTTGGGTGGCAGAGCTAGGAACAACTGCTGGCTGTAAGCCTTGAAGGGCCACTGCCATCAGCATAGACAATGTGGGGTTCAGTGAATCAGTGCTCTGATTCAACATAATTCAGTTTCATTTATTCATATCTACAGAGAGTTCCTTGTAAAGACCCTTCCGGTGCATGCAGAACAGTGCCCAAAGCGTAGGATGCTTAATGTGCCTATCTCATAGTAAACTCTTTTGTTTTATTCCCAGATCTTCTATTTAGGTACTTGGGATGCACCTGGGATGACTCATTTAAGGAGCATTTTGTTTCCAAATAAACATTAGCAACAGTGGTAATTAGAAGGTGATTAATTAAGGCATTTTTCTTCTTACATTACAGAGTGCAAAGTTTGGCGAAATCCACTGAACCTGTTTAGAGGAGCTGAATATAACCGGTAAGTGCTAAAAAAAATTGCTCTTCAAACATAGTGTCTCCCTTAGAAAGTCCTTTTGAGTATTTATTCATTGTTGCTGCTGATCTCCAGGATTCAGGAGACCTCTTCAGGCATTCACCTCCATGCCTGATTACAACCATGTAAGGGAGATGCAGGACCATACCTGTTACACACCACCATAATATGAGTAGTTCCATGATTTGGTGGCATCATCTCCTACATGTTGGAAGCTAAGTGCCTAGGGTGGGGAACCTGCTGTTCTCTTGTAGGCTCCCTGCATGATTTTAAACTTTGCACCATCGGGGTTTTCAGTTGTGCAAGACAGAGCAAGCTCCCTGCTGCAGATGCAAAGGAGGATAGGGCCAAGTGCAAGGAATGCTGTGATAGGCCCGTGAGTGTCCTTCTACTTCCTTTCTAACACATAGGGTGAATGCTTGTACAGGACGACAGACTCGTCCTAGCAGTGTATTGTTCAAGTTCCACATAGTATCTTCCTCAGTCTGGGTCAAACAACATGGTAGCCAATGGAAGATATTGACATAGTCTCTCTACTCCCAGCTAAACCAGATTCTACTGAAAACAACGCGGTGCTGTGAATAGCTTTTTTAAGATGCAGAGATGTGGGTAAAGCAGGGCTGAAATGTCAAACATCCAGGAATTTTCTGTCCCAGTTGTAAAGAACCTCTTTGAGCTTAATCACCAAACTCCATTTTGGAGAAGTTCCCAGGGCTTTATTGTAGTGGTAAATGGGGCTGAAGGCAAAAGGGATATGGCTGAAGGACAAGGGGCAAAGTCAAAATACCCCAAAACTCCATCTTTGAGCTTCAAGCTCTTACTGCCAGAACACCGACTTTAAAACCAGGTTCTCACTATTGTTTAGTTTATAGAAAATATTTCAGTACACATCAGGCAAGGCCAACAGGATAGCAGTTCGGTTTCCTTTTCACTTCTTGCAGCATAGCACAACCAAAGCCTTTCCAAAAGATTAATTTTTAGCATAATAGCTGGTGGTTGATTTATTGGGTGGAAAAAGAAAATACAGGTAGATTTCCAAGAACTTGGAGAGAAGCTTGAAATAAATTATCCAGTGATTCTTACATTAATTTCTACATTTCTTGTTCTGTAAGCACACCATTGATGCATATGACTACATCTTCTTTGGTGTCTCTGTAGGTATACATGGGTAACAGGACGAGAACCTTTGACATACTATGATATGAATCTCTCAGCGCAAGATCATCAAACATTCTTTACATGTGATACAGACCATTTAAGGCCTGCAGATGCCAGTAAGACTTTTACTAAGTGTATTGGGAAACTTCTCATTTGAAGCGAACAACAAAGCCTAATTTCAGAAATTAGACAAATTGAAACCTAGAGGTCTAGGTGTTTACACTTCCTGTATCTGAATTGCTTGCTCAGACAGCTTGCCTTAGTTGTACCTCTTTGCATTTCAGGTTTGAAGTGGGGTTCAGTGTTGCTCAGGCTGGACCCTGGGACCAAAGCTTTGGGTCCCTTAGCCTAAGAGGTCACCAAATGCAACCCAAAGTGTGGAATATGATGAGACCAATAGAAGCAAACTCTGTTTTAGACCTGTAGTCGTTGTGCTGTTATGATTTAAGTGACTTTAAAAGGCAAAACTGCACATCTTCGGAGTATTTTGTTAAAAGACATTAGGGTTGGCAAATGTTATGATTTTAATTTATCATTCTGGTAGAAGCAGTTTTATTTGTTTGTTTGTTTGTTTGGAATGTTTGTATGCTATCCTATTCGCATAAGCCTCGGGACAGTTATAAAGCATTTAATGGGGATTGTGGAATGTTAGCAGTGTGCTTCACAACTGAAACAATGCATGTCACTGATTAAAGGGTTGCTCTCATAAGAATATTAAATCCCAGATTATTAAGTCTAAAATGACCTAGCTGTGCCACTATGTGGGTTACTGGGCACTCACTATTTGAGACTGACTGCCCTTTTCATTGCTGATGGGTACAGTCTGCCCCAGTCTTTTACTGAATTTATTGTTGTCCTTTCCTCGGAAACGTTCTTTTTACAATAGTGCTTCTGGTATTATATTTGCCTCTTACCTCATGCCAGCTGTTTGCTGCAGGATTTCAAAGATAACAGCTTGCTGTAGTGCTTAGGTCTCTCAAGTGTTTCTTACTTGTTGGTGAATGATGAGGCCAGGCAGAAACCACAGTGGCAACAGCCTTTGCATAGCCTCTGTACTTTGACAGCTTAAGAAACATGGCAGGACTGAGGCTTGGCACATGCTCTGTCACTCTCCCTTCTGCCAGGAAAGAAGTCTGAAAGCAGCTGGCAGGCAAAACAGGAACAATAGTTCTGAAATAAAGAGGAACAAAGGTTACTTTCCTGCATTACCTCACACATTTTTATATCCAGTAAAGTAAGTTAGGCTGGGAGGTAATAATTTGGCCTGATCAGAGATCTGAACCTGGGATTCCCACAGCCTGAACCACTCAACATTCTCTCTAGCTTTTACACCACATCAGCTCTTCACACAGACACATGGCAATATAGACACTGTATGGTGCAATACTGTGTGTGAATGTCCTGGCCATATGGCAGGTCAGCTGCATGGGTCTTTCATACCTGATAGGCATCATACCTCTGACCTGGGTGTCCGTTGCCTGGGAAAGAGCCCCGATATCAGCTAGGCAGCCTGCAAGCCTGTGGAATTGTACCACACCTGGCACCTTCTGGACTGCTATGGCCGAAATTAAAGCGGCCAAAGCACAAAAGCCAATGTGGTGCATAGACGAGAGAGTTGGAGCTGGCTTTGGGAAACCTAGGTTCAGATCCCAATCAGGCCAAGTAATTAACTTCCAGCCTATCACCACCATCATCATCCCATTACATTTCTATCTCACCTGTTTTCCGCTTGCAAGGAACCCATGGTGGCTTAGACAGAACTTCTCCCCTCCATTTTATCCTCAGAATGACAACCTTGTCAGGTAGGTTAGGTTGCAAATGACTTACTGGCCCAAAGGCACCCCATGAGCTACATGGCCGAGTGTGGATTAGAACTGGGACTCCCAAGTCCCCAGACCAACACTACTCACCCCGCCACACTCATACTTTGCGAAATAGCAGTAAGGCTAAATGCTGCTTGTGAGGAAGGTCAAGGCAACAAGAAATAAATGGGGATATCCCAAAGGGATAGCAAATGCAGCAAGGGAACCCAAAAGAACTAAAATGCTGGCATGTTGTCTTTTGTTCAGGGCATGTTGTCTTTTGTTTAGGACCAGCTTTGTTGCTCTTGGAGTGAGCTGTGCTTAGCACATTCTTCCAACATCCACAGCTGCTATAAGGCAGCTGATGTAGGTTCATCCTTCTCTGGATGCATATAAATATTAAACTTTAGGGTTGGAGGGAAGGTGCACTGATGCCTCTGATTCCATTTTTGGACTTAATGAGTCATTTGTCTGCTAGAATGACTTCATGGCATGCTAGTTTAGCTTACTGCAATGTCCTTCCATCACCACTCTAATTTTTAATAATATTTCCTCCCACAGTCATGCAGAAGGCATGGAGAGAAAGAAACCCCCAGGCCAGAATTTCTGCAGCGCATGAGGCCTTAGAGTTAAATGAGTAAGTGCATTTACAGTCTGTTGTCTGCTTTGGCTATCGTCTGTTTGATATACTCTCCTTTGTCTTAGCATAGGGAGAATCACCTACAAATCAAGAAAGGTACAAATGGAGAGCGAGTTCTTCCATTTTTCCACATGGGCATTCTGGGGATCTGCATTTTTAATCTGTTCATACTGAACTTAAACTAGCATGATAAAGTTTTTTGAAATGTTGATTCATATGGTGATTAAGGACAAGTTGGTTATATGACTGATGGTGATGGATGGATGGATGGATGACCAGCCTAACTCAGGCTGTGTCCCTGGGATCTTCCGAGCCAGAACCACTTCACACTCTCTTTAGTCATGGCACTGAATCAGTTTGTATGGCCGGGTCCCTTCACATACATGCAGATACCTCTATACATCTAAAGGATTTTGTAAATTCTGGGCTCCATAATAATATCTCAAATTAAAGATGGTGATTTATCTGATCCTCTCAGCCCAACCTACTTCACAGATTCGTTGTTGTGGGGAGCAGGAGAACAAGAATGGTGCAAGCCACTTAAAGTTCATAAGAAAAAAGCAGGATATAAATCTAATAAATAAATATTGCTAGTTACTTATCTGGAGCCCAGTCCATCATGAATGCTATAGTACTGACAAGTCTCCCTGCTCCTCCCCCATGCCTACATCATGTGCCTGGGCGAGGGCTGCTTACCTGCTTTTTGGAGCTTTTCATCCCAGTTCCTCTTCAGTGAGTCCTGGTGGTCTGTGTTCATTCCGCAGTCGAATGCAGCATCAGAGTTTCATGGATTCAGGAAAGAAACAGTAACAATTGATCTGACCAACCATAGAAACTATAGCAGATGCTGCACGCTATGGTATGCCATGTCCTGAGTCCCAGCAAGACCCGGGATTTCTGGTCTGGGTTGTATGGGATGGGAAGCTTTATTTTCTTATTCGCCGAAGCCTCAGGGCGGCTCACAATCATAAATAAATAACATAGTATAAAACAGTATAATTTAACAGTATAATTTAAGTCGCCCTGGCCAAAAAATAAAATAAATAATATTAACAATTAAAATAACTTCTCTCTCTATCGTCTGCAACAGCCGTTCCCTGCCTATGTGAAGCTCTGGATTGCAGCCTGTGTTCCTGATCCATTGCATGCCATAGCTCCCACGTGCAAAGGCTGCCTCCTTTGCTTTGATAGTGGGACAGCTCCACACTTTCACAGTTTTGCAGAGTTCTTATCCTTCATCAGAGTGAATGGGGCAATCCTAGTAAATCTGAACCGAATGAAACCTTTCATGCTACGTAACAGTCATTTGCTACAATAAAGCAGGCAAAACCTCTTGCTCATTTGGCATATCCTAGCCAATACCTTTTCCATTTTCTAGTTGACTTAGCAGTGATTGTTTTGTTATTTCCCTGATAGGTGTGCCACTGCTTATATTCTTTTGGCAGAAGAGGAAGCAACAACTATTGTGGAAGCAGAAAAACTCTTTAAACAAGCTCTGAAGGCTGGTGAAGGCTGTTACAGACGTAGCCAACAGTTGCAGCATCATGGTGCCCAGTATGAAGCTCAACACAGTAAGACTCTTTCTCTGTGGAACTAATAGTCCTGGTATCTTTGAGAAACTAAAGTTGCAGTTTGCTAGGAATAGTTGTTCCAAGGGACATTTCATGAGTGCTGCATTCCAAGTAATTATTTATACCCAAGGGAGTGAGTAATCAAATAATTCTGTAGGATCACAGAAGCAACCGTGATTGTGGTTTTGAGCACAAAATTTGGTTTCTTGAGAATCTCAGACTTTAAAAAAAACAACAAAAAAAAAAAAAAACAAGCTTCTACCTGTACTGCTGTGAAGATAGCCCATGACAATGAGTAGAAAATGCTACACTTTCTAAAGCTAGGGGATTGTCTGAATGTGATTTTTCAATGGCTTTTGTGACTTGAATAGTGAGTTGTTCTCTCTGTGTTTAGAAAGATCAGAATAAATCTATAAAGTAACTGACACTGAGGAATTTATAGAATTCAGCTTTTTTATAATTCTAAAATTAGACTGTTTAGGATTCAGTTTTTATGGATACATATTTTTAGTGCACAATACATAGAGCCCTGAATGTAACTCAGTAATACAAAGTATAAGACTATCAATTTTAGGGAGACAGCCAGAAACAAAGTAAGAGGGCAATTTCCTATTGTATTGAGAATCATCTACAGTGTATTAGGTATAACTAATATTTGCATCTCTGACAAGAATAAGGAAGTATTAATACAATTGACCAGTTGTCTGTGAGGTTAAATTGCAGTTACTTGTGTTCATGATGGATTTATTCAAACTGAGATAAGCGCATCAAGTTAAATTCAAAATTCACAAACAAAATCTAATTCATGAAAATAGGCTGCAAAAGCTCAGTGTGTATAACCAATTAAAATGAAATTGGGGGCTCATGCACACAGCTGTTTGGAGATCCCTTTTCTACTTAACACTGATGTGGTAAAAATAGTCTTGTTAAAGACTGCTCCACTCCCAGAAATATTTTTCAGCTGTCAGTGCTTTGTCTTCGTATACCTTCTGTGTTAAGTGTTCTCAAACTGGAGAGCTGCTCCACTCATATACATATGGAAGCACCAGTGTATGGGATAAGGCAAGCAATTAGCAGTATAGCTATAAAAGAGAGGGCTCAATTTTTGCAAAATGTGAGTGGTGAACCCACTGGGATTTTTTATAAGAAGGGTTCTTTATCATTGCAGGCCCAGTGAGCTTGGTAAAAGACTCAGAATCAGGGGAAATCATTTCTGTGTCGGAGAAACAGTGAAAGGGTCAGAGTTGAGTAGCTTCTGAAAAAGAGTACATAGGGACATAGTAGCTGGCAATCATACACAGTTAGCTTGTAATGGGGTTGGCTGAAAGAACTACTAACAGAATATTTGAGAAATAGGGTTGAGCACAGTTTCATAAAGTTTGAGTAGGCTGATTTTGGCCAAGAGCCACTGGCAATCTTTACTTACTCTGTGATGGCAATGAACTTCAAACAACTTCCCGGGTGGCTCTGTATGATTATTGTCAAACATGATTATGTACTGAGATGTTTGTGAGCATTGTATTACCTGAATGGGGCCAGAGAGTTATTCCTCCTTGTTTGTTTGAGGCGTTCAGTGATCTAAATCAGTGGTCCCCAGCCATCTGGGACATGGGGGCTGCACTAGAGTGCGCAATACCTAAAGAGGGCCACATTTTAAATCAAAATGTAGCAAAATTATTAAGCTACCAGTTTAGATCAAAAGTAAACATTCAGAGGTCAATGAAGAAATGCTAGCTTGAATGCAATCCATTGTGGAATCCTTTTACCTAGTTAAACATACCACTCTAATTAGTGTGTTTTTTGTGGCTGTTTTCTGTTAGCCAAGGCTTTAACGTCCAAGTCAAGGTTTGTGACAGACACCCTTAAAATACCATGTAAATCATCTGTAAGCCTTGACCTACACTTAGATTTCACAATTTTAATCTTGGAAAAGTTTGTTTGCAGATGTATGTTTTGCCTTCAGCAAATTTCTTTAGATTGATAAATATATCAGATAGACCACAATAGAAATATAACAGACTATTTTCTTTGTTAATGTCTCTGAAATGATCACTGGTTTGCAAATCAGTTAGTTCCATCTGAAAAAAAGTTACTCTTCTTGTGCTACTTCAAATTGATTCTGAAACATGCTTATTTCCTTTCCATATTCATGTTCTGGAATTCAATCTGCAATAGGTTTGGTGCTTTGTAAATTCCTGTCCTCAAATTTTAGTTCATTGCAGCATGAGAAGTTTGAAAAGCTGCTTTCACTAATTTGCTTCACAATGTTTAATTTGCTTCAAAAGCTTTCAGTTTAAAATACATGTCACACACAAGCTTTCCTTTCCCCTCCAACCTTAAATTCAATGTGCTCTGATGCTCTGTGATTATCAGTTAAGAAATCCAAATCAAAAATCTTGTTGTTGTTGTTAGTTGCGAAGTCGTGTCCGACCCATCATGACCCCATGGACAACATTCCTCCAGGCCTTCCTGTCCTCCACCATCTCCCAGAGTCCACTAAAGCTCACACCAACTGCTTCAGTGACTCCATCTAGCCACCTCATTCTCTGCCGTCCCCTTCTTCTTTTGGCTTGAATTGATCCCAGCATTAGGCTCTTCTCCAGTGAGTTCTTCCTTTTCATTTGGTAGCCAAAGTATTTGAGTTTCATCTTCAGCATCTGGCCTTCTAAAGAGCAGTCAGGGTTGATCTCCTCTAGGACTGACTGGTTTGATCGCCTTGCAGTCCAAGGGACTCGCAGGAGTCTTCTCCAGCACAGCAATTCAAAGGCCTCAATTCTTCGGTGCTCAGCCTTCCTTATGGTCCAACTTTCACATAAAAAAAATCTATTCAGGGTCAAAAAGTACTTCTTGACCTCTTCCTTTCTTCTTGAGAAAGACATCAATTTCATGGTGAAGACTGAAAAGAACATTTGAGGACTTTACCTCTGCTAAGCAACCTGACTTGTGCATGATACAATACATCTCTGTATTCTGCATCTCTGTCTGAGAGAAAATTTTGAAACTGATGATGAGTGAGACCATAATGCCTGAGGTAATTAATGCTGGATATACCTGGTGATTGTAGACACAGATGAACTAACGCAACTAACACAAGATGCCTTGTCAGAGCACAATTCCTCCATTGTTTTAACCATGTACTTCTTATCAAATTCACCAACAGTGAATGGCCTGCCACTCTCAGCAATACATTTAGCAACATGATAGCTGACCCTCGCAGTCCACAGGTTCTCAACGTGCTTTCTAAAACTATTTTGCTGCAATTTTATTGATTTTTTTTTAAAGAAAATTTACCTTGTTCGTTTGCACCTCTCCTTGATGTATTGAATAGCTCTTGTGACAGGATTCAAAGTACCTTTTAAAATTGTACTCCTTTAATACTGAGACAGCTTCAAGACATATCAGGTAAACTGCTTTACCCTTGTTTAAAAGAAAGTACCCAGTCGCCATTAAAGACACAGTTCTCATCTGCAATTTTTTGTTTCTTTGAAACAGCACTTTCTTTTGCAAACATCTTCTTACAGAATTTTTAGCAGAGTAGCAGTTGCAGAGTTTCAATATTATACTTGAATAAATAAAAATATGGGAAGTATAGTGTTAGGGCCTAGCTATTCCCTTTCTCATCAAGTCCACTCCACTGCTGTTAGCTAGGGATTTTCATTTTGACCATGGCAAAGAAGAGAAGAGACCCCTGTCTCTGCAGTTCTCAGAAGTATTGGACCATATGCACAGGCTAGGAAATTGACCATTAAGTTGGCTTCAAATTATATGCAGAGTACATATATACATCACTGCCTGCCAGCCAAGCTTCAGTCATGAGAAGCAAAATGGCAGCTGGGGGAAGGGAATTTGGCTGGAGGAACATGTGTAACGGGGAATCCCATAAGTTTCCCAGCTAAGAGAGTACGCCTTCCCTTTCAACCTAAGGAGCCACTCACTGGCTTCTACAATCAGATGCATGAGAAGACTCCTAGCTGGAGTGACTGGGGGAGGAGAGCCAAAATCAAGTGAGGCAAAAAGTCAGAGCAACCAGTTCTTGTTGAGGAAGGAAGCATGGTTTTGCTTGAAGCAGCAACCTCACGAGTAACCTTGGAAGCCACTTGGAAGAGCCTTGATGGCTGGAGTCTCTAGAAATGTTTATCATGCAAAACGCTTTGTATCCTTTTTGTGAAAATACCAGGTCTTTCCCTGCCTTTTTTGAGAAAGCTAGCCAGACATCTCCTGTATCCATCCACGCAGCTGCTTTACCTTCTGTACACATACATTTAGCCTTCAGTATGGTAATGCTTGAAGGGGAGGAATGAAAAGCTGAGTGATACAGTACCTGAGCTCTGTGGGCTAGCAAAGCACCCAGAATGGCCAAAATGCTAGTATGGTGGAAAAGACCAAAAGGGGGCTTTCAGAAGGAACCATGGAGACCAGAAGAAACAGTGTTGCTATTGTATATTTTGTAAGAAAGGGACAGGAAAAACAGTTAGGTGCTTCCTGAGGTGGAAAGAACAGTATAGGTCTGAAGGAAAATGCCTTGAGCGTGATAGCAGTGGACAGGCAGTTTAGAGGGCAGCACAGAAAGGGCTTGGGGGCTGCAGGTTAGGCACACCTGATCTAGATTATCAGCCAATAAAGAGGATAAACAGTGCTGATCTTGCCTTGAAAAGCTCTGTGGACTCCTTCCAGCCCCGATTCTGTCTGTGCTGAGTCAATGGTTTCCTGACAACAAAAGAGCAGCTGGCAAGGTGGAGAAAAGTGCAGACGTTGATACATTTGGTTAACTTTGATTTAATAAGGAGAGGAAAAATAATTTGGTGATCCGGAAAATTCAGAGAACTCAACTTAGGTAAATAAAGCTTTATTAGAATGACTTGGAATATGGCTTTTCCTGACTTCATAGTAAGCAAATAGACTTGACCCTATTTGAATCATTGTAGCATATCCTGGAAGGTGAACCAAATAATTATATTATGTGTAGCAATGTTGGAAACAGATGTAGTTAACAAGTCCTTTATTAAATACAGAGAATCCGTGCTAGAGAAAAATGGTCACTAAATATGGCACGGTGCAAAAAGAATAGTATTTATTCCTTATTTATTTATTTATTTTGTTTAACTTAACCTGTTGCTTAATCTGTCTGAAAAGTATAGTTGTGTCTATAGAATATTTTGTGTATAATTAATGTTTTTGGTATACTTATTATTAGAGGAGACATGAAAATGTGAGAACCAGGTCCTGCAAATCTTTAGTGGTTGCATAGGATAGATGAAGTTAATCTGGAGCAGGTGTGTTTTTATGATAAAGTAATTTTTTAGATTATTATCTTCAGGCACATTTCCTTTTTGGTCAAGGATTATACTTAAAAGAGGCCACATTACTGTTGCAGAAAGACTATGATACCTGATTCTACAAAAAAGCTGAAAGAAAAGCCCTCAAATCTTAATCCATTCTCAATGAAATAATGCCAAATGTTTTTTTATTCTCTCAAATCTGAATGTGGTTTCTGTCTGTTTACAATTACAATGATATCAAAAACAACTGGACAGTTTTAATGTAAAAGAAAAGTTCAGTGTGTTATGTGCTCATTGTGTGTGTGTGTGTAAATGTATAATATAGATGTACAAGTTTACCCATAACAAAAACTTGCATCTTTTTGATCATGACATGTAGTTTGGCCCTCTTGCAAGAAAGATAGTTTCACTTACAGAGTCATCTTATGTTGTAGTTCAGAAGCAGGTAACACTCTAGCCTACCAAGGCTCTATAGCCCTATTGATTGATTGATCGATCGATTGATTGATTGTATTTGTATGCCACCCATAGCCCAAGGGCTCTCTGGGTGTCTCACATCACAAACATGACATGGCAGTATGAATAAAAATGATAGATAAACAATAGATGGCAAAAGAAGAAGGGGACGGCAGAGAATGAGGTGGCTAGATGGAGTCACTGAAGCAGTTGGTGTGAGCTTAAGTGGACTCGGGGATGGTGGAGGACAGGAGGGCCTGGAGGAATGTTGTCCATGGGGTCGCGATGGGTCAGACACGACTTCGCAACTAACAACAACAACAAAACAAAAATAGCTAAGAATCACAAAAACATAAAACAATAAAAAGTGCAATATAAAGTGCAAACAGAAGGGTAAGCAATAATAGAAACAACAATAAAACCAGCAGTGGAACCAAATAAAAAGAAGTCCTTAAAAGAAATGCTAAATAGAAAGGTCTCGACTTGGCAACAAAAACAAAATAATGTGGGTGCCAGTCACGCCTCTTTTGGATGAGAATTCCAGAGGTGAGGTGTGACAACAGAGAAGGCCCTTTTCCTGTCTAGTCCCCCCCTCGTTTGGGGGAGTTAATGAAGGAGGACCTCTGTCATGACCTAAGCAGTCCAGTAGTGATATATGGAAAAGGGCTTCCTTGACATAACTCAGCCCCGAGCCATTTAAGGCTTTATATGTTAGTGTAAGCACTTTGAATTGGGCCCAGGCAGCAACAGACAGCCAATGCAGGTGGTGGAGGACCAGCATAATATGTTCTCTAGGGCCGGTCCTTCTTAATAGCCACACTGCTCTTTTTTGAATTAATTGAACTGCCCAGACTTTCTTCAAAGGCAGCCCCATGTAGAGCACACTGCGGTAATCCTGGCAAGGGGTTACCAGCGTATGGGTCACTGTGGCAAGGCTTCGCTCATCCAGGTAGGAATGTAGCTGGAAAATAAGCCTGTACTTCTGGCCACTCTGGCAAGAGCTCAGCATCTAGGAGCACCCCCAAGCTATGAATCTTATCCTTAAGGGGAGCACAACTCCGACCAGGATGGTTTGAAAATTTTCCAGTTGGTTGAATGGACTGCCCACCAACAGTACTTCTGTCTTGTCTGGATTGAGCTTCAAGCTTATTGGCCGTCACCCAGTCCATTACCAAGCCAAGGCACTGGTTCAGGACAGTTACTTCCTCACCTGGGTTGAATGAAAATTAGAGGTAGAGCTGAGTGTCATCAGCATACTGGTGACACTTCTGCCCAAATCTCCAGATGAACCTGCCAAGGAGTTTCATGTAGATATTAAAGAGCACAGAGGGCAAAGTGGAGCCCTGTGAAACTCCATGACACAAATGCCATGGTGCAGAGTGGCAGTCCCCCAGCTTCACCAGCTGGAGACAATCAGCCAAGTAGGAGTGGAACCACTGCAAAGTAGTGCCACCAACTGCCAATCCAGCCAGCCTCTCCAGAAGGACACCATGGTTGATGGTATCAAAAGCCCCTGCGACGTCTGGGAGAATCAACAAGGTCACCCTCCCCCTGTCTCTCCATGTATACCAGTCTCCATGGTTTCATCTTCCAGGCTCCAGGCAAGTTGAGGGATGTTGGAAATGGAAAAAGACCATGTCTTGCTACTTCTCAAGCTTTTAAAAATAAGTTAATAAGCCTCAAGGTACCTATAGTGAAGTTGTATTTCAAATCTCAATTCACTGATGTGCAGCATGGTCCATGCATGTCTACACAGGATTAAGTCCCACTGAGTTCAATAAGACATGCTGCTAGGTAAGTATGTTCAAGATTGCAGCATCACTCTCCTTGTTGAGATTATTGATTCCTGAAGTATATTCTTTTGAAAACATTTTAACTACACATTCATCTTGTGGTTCTTAACTGCAAGTTTAGGATGACCATTCCATATAGTTTATCCAAATCTAGAAATGTGCTAGTATAGGAGAGTAGCCTCTGTACTACCATTGGTGAACAAACAAATCTTGTCAGCTGCCCAGCAGAACTTAATTATCACTAGAGTTAGTTCCAGCAGTAACTTCATTGTATCTGCCAGGTATTGGTAAATCTGCCAAAGTTGATTTTGCACAGTTTCTCATTTTCTCAGTGCTTAAGTTCATTTTGGATCAATTCCACATTGTGATTTTTAATGTCAGTTTTTGAAAAATCCACACCTGTTACCTGCTTTTTTTGCAAATGTATGCATTTTACATGCATTTTTGCAAATATATACATATTCCTTGATTTAATAAATTGATATTGTACAGAATTGAGCAGATACGTAAGGTTAGCCTTGTTGTATACATGTTTTTGTTTTTGCAGTCTGCACACCATACATCAAAAATGTATTGCATTCTGGTTCATGTTTAGGTTCAAATCTGAATTTGGTAAGTTCACATGGAAATGTATAGTGAACATATTTCTCATCAATTCCTGGTATCTATACATAATGGTAAATAATCATATGTTTTTATAAGATAAGGAAAAAGCACACTTCCCTCTGAGGCTGTTCTTTTGCTACTTATATTCAAGATCCAGCTGCTTAAATAAGCCAGACTGTATTATGGCTTATATATTATGATTTGCCCATCTCTCTCTTAATTATGTACCTGACCTCCATTGCATAGTTCATAAAAGCCAGTTCTCATGGCCATGGACTGGTTAGTGGAAATGTGATGTGAACATTGTGCCCTTATGTGTTGTGATCATGTGTAAATCAGCAAAACCTGAGTGCACAGAAATTCTCAGAACTGAGTCTTTTCATGTGAAAATCTGTTCTTATTTCTCCAGCTGTATGCATCAGTGGTATATATCTTTGTGTATATTCATTCTTTCCCCACTAAACAAAACATACTTTTGTGCATTTCCAGAACAATGCATTTTTCATGCACATTTTTCTGAGAAATGTATCCTGCAGAACAAAAGTTTTTGGGTCTGCGAATCACATTGCAAACTTGGAAATGTGCAGACTTTGATAACAGATTGTGTCTGGGTGTGTGTTCAGTCCAAAAAGTGCAAACTGGGTAAATCCTAATCAAACCAAATTGAAACATCCTTCTTAGACATTCCTAATGCAGACAGAGATACTCACACAATGGATTGTTATTTTTAAAGAACGTCACTGCAAATTGTAATTCCCCTTGAGCCATCAACAGTGTGCAAAACGTCTAAATCCTGAACATGGTTTTGTACATTTGACCAGATCCATAGAGTGCTGGAGTCAAAAACCACATTCAAATGACTTTCCCAAGACTGCCACACATGGTCATGTAAATTACCTTCCATTTTCCCTTTAAAGTGTCAGACAATTCCTTACAAAGAAAATAAAAGTGTCTAGAGGGATGGTTGATTTAATAATGTGACTGAAAGCATTTCCCCAACTTTGTTACTTTTCCCCAACTCTGTGGAAAAATGTAAACAAACTATTGAGTGATGTTGATAGCTTAACTGTGCAGTAAGCTGCATAGAAGATAATTGGAAAGATACAACAGCAGTAGGCCATTCAAGCTGTAGCTTTTGTAATTAAAGTCTGTTAGAGGGAATAAAGTCTGTTGAGGGAATAAAGATTTGCCTGGATAAAGCAAAGTTCACTGTATTTTGGCATGCATATGAGTTAAAATTGGTGTTTAAAATAATCATTTGCATGTTGTAGACAAGAATCTTCAAAAATACCATTGCACATTTGTGTAAATGCACATTTCCACTAACTGTATTAATGACAGATTGTGACAGATAGCTAACTACAGAGTAGTAATAAGAGTTCAGGAAAGGGCTATAAGTTACACTTTAGAAATGTTAAATGGACCTTTTGTTCTATCTGTTTCTGCAAACACTCAACCTCTTAAAACCTTTTCCCCCTCCTCCTTTCTCTCTCTCTCTGTCTCCTCTCTCTCTCTCCCCAGGACGGGACACTAATGTATTAGTCTACATTAAAAGGAGGCTGGCTATGTGTGCAAGAAAACTGGGGAGGACCAGGGAAGCTGTGAAAATGATGAGAGATGTGAGTTTGGATTTGTGTTAATATTTGTCTATTACCTTGACCAGTCAATAGCATAATTAGGATAATTACTTTGCCTGTAGATGAAGTATAACTTAGGTATCATGGTAATATGTCTTGTGCATAACATAGTTTCTTTTCATGGGCTTTTCAGACAGTATCTCTACCAATTATAACTTTCTGCACATGGTGAGGTTAGAAGACATTCTTTGGTCCTTGTGCTTTCTCACTGCTGTGCTCCTCCTACCCCTCAATGCATGTAGAAATTATCTTCTGAACTAGGAAACTTTCTCTTCACCAATCATTTCAACCTGGAATTGTCCTTTACCCTGCATATCAAACCATCACAAATGGGTTCAGATCAAAAGTAACAGAAACTGTACTTTTAAATCTGTACAGGACCACCTGTTTGGATGTTGTCTGTAGGTAAAGAAGAGTATGAGCCCAAGAACCATCCCTGCATTTGTCATATATTTAAGGAGGAGGAAATGTTGTGTTTCTTTTTAAAAGTTCACTGGATAATGCAGAGATGGTGGGCCCTCCTGTCTCAGGCCCAGGAGACCCCTCCTGGGGTCCCAGTCCATCTCTCTCTTTCCCAACCTCTAATTACTGGAGTGGTGCTTCCCCCTCCATAAAGGTTGAAATGCTTCTAAGTTTTTGGTACTGCCAGTCAAAGCTTTAAGCTACAAGAGGCTACTATTTGACACCACATCTTAGCCTTTTTCTCCACTCTTCCCTGAAAGCTGTTTAACATCCCTGGTGTAATGAAATGCTTGCTTTCCCGGAATAAATAAATACATATTTTAAAAAACCCATAATGAATACAATTACTTTATCATTTGAAGAGAGTCAAGTTAGGTGCCATATGCTAAAAACTGTATAACTATGGAATATAATATATGATGGGCTTTAGTGTGGAACCTTCCAATGAGCACTGTCCTTTTACTGGGGGAGGGAGGGGACTTTTGGGTTGCCTCAGACTGCCCAGTCCTCTCTAATTAGCCTGCCTTGACCCTCCCTTTCCCAGACTCCTTGCCTCCCTACCATTCTCTGCTATTCTCAGTTGCTGCTGGTATCCCAGTTCCAGTGGTGGTGTTTGCTTACAACGCAGATGCAACACATGATTTCACAATCTTCTTTCTTTCTAAGTGACTTTAACTTGTATTAGTTGGTTAACAGCATAAGCTACTATTTCAATTTTATCATGGTGAAGTTGTTGGACATTGGACTTCTCTTTTGGCCTAGTTGAATGTAGCAGCATTCTCAAGATATTCATCCTGCCAGACGAGTATTAATGGAGAGGGTGTGTCCATCTGAGAGGACTTTTATTTCCACATGATGGAATCCCAGGGTATCCATTTGAAAAATGGCTATATTAGCCATTTTCTGACAGAACAAAAGGTTATGAATATTCTACTCCCATTTCTTTACAGAAAGCTTACAGCATAGTGGGACTAAGTTGTATCCTCAGGAGTGATAACTATTTTATAGATTCTATAAATATTAGAACTTTAGGGGACAGGGTGGAGACAGTGGATTTTGTTTGAAAGGTATGTGTCCTCTCCTCACGAGGCAGTAAAATGAGGTCTTAAGATGTGAATGATTATTATTATTGTTATTATTATTATTATTATAACATTTCTATGCCGCCCCTTGCCGAAACCTTGGGGCGGCTTACAACATGAATGATGACAGCTCCTTGAAAATATGGCAGAGATTCAGCAAGTAATTAGCTTGTAAAATATAATGAATAATTTTAAATTATCTGAGTCTGGAATCTAGGCACAATAATACAGCTGGAGTCTCCAGCATGTTTTTTTTGCGGGGGGGGGGGAGTTTCCCATGCCATACAGTAAGCTCTCTGCACCTCCTAATTTTAATTTTATTTATGAAGAGTTCTTTAAAATAGAAAACCCTTTAACTAGGAAATTAGCTGTTAGGCTGCAAAGCAAAGTGGTGCCACGAATGCCAACTTTATTTGGATTCAAAAGAGAGATTTTGTGTTTTGAAACTGAAATTCTACCGCTCTGTCTTGTATTTGGGTTCTTGGGCAAACTACATTTCTTTTAGTCTCACCAGTTTGCATCCTGGGATATGAATGCTTTGTGATCACCAGTGTTACTATAGTGGTCATTTTGTGAATAGGCAAGCCCTCATAAAGCAACTATTTTGTGAGTGTCCACTAACCCAAAAAAGTTGGGGATCCCTACTGTAAGGTGAAAGTGGCATCTGCAAACCTATTGATTGATAAACATATGATCTCAGCTTATTTTTCTTATCTCCGGCCTGAAGACAATGTTTTATAGAAACAAAGCTTGTATTTTAACCACCCTTCTCTCACACTGCTTTATTTTAACTAACATTGTAGTCTGAATACCCACTAATTCATGACATACTTTATTGATGGTCCTATACAGAAAAACTGAAATATTTTAACCTAAGTGAAAATGAAATGGAAGTGGAGTTCTCTTCTATTGTCACTGTTAGCATTAAGAGTGAGCATGAAGCTTTCTATAATGTAATAATATGAAGCTCTTGGTCTCATTTTGGGAACTTTCATTGTCTGTCTTTCAACTAATAAAATGTCTACAGCAATATCCAAACTCAGACTAGTTGCCCTAGGATTAATGCTAATTCTGGAGCACCAACCCCAGTATAGGGCTGTTCACATGGTGTAAGTATGCTGTAGTCAAGCTGAATTATATGCCAGAGTTGCCCTATCCCAGGTGCTTCCTGTTCTTTTTACTCTGTCATTATTTGGTGGGGAACATTGAGCAACTTGTTCACTCTTGAGAAACATCTGTTTCTCCAGGGTATATTGTGTCAGGCTGGGTGTCTGTTTGGCTCTGTCTTACCATTCATGGCTGTACTGGCCTCCAGTCCAAATTACCCAGCCTTCATTTATGTTTCTGAATGACAGCCATTTTGAGACAGTGATGGGGGCAGCAGGATAAAGCACTACAGTGACTATAGGAGTTGAGTTGCACATCAAGCCTATAGGGCAATAGAAGTCTCAGATCCACAAGCACCGGGATTATGATTGTCCACAAACCTTCCAAAAGAGACACCAAAGCCCAAAAAGAGTTCTTCTCCTCTAGATGGGAAGCTAAATGGCTCAAAATTCTTAGGATCCATAAGATTTAAACTGTCATTTTAGTTGCTTCAGTTGCATTACCTTTCATTGAACCAGGCTACCATTTATGTACCTTCATCATTCAGCTCACACATTATGAAAAATAATTCAGCTTTGGGAGAAAAAGTTTTTTTCCCAACCATACTTTGAGAAGCACATTAGAGTTCCTGTGTGTTTTTTCTGCCCAGGTGCTTTTACTTGGTTGCATTTTTTCTGAGAGCAAAATGATGGCTGCTTTCACAGTTGCAATGCAAATTGATTTAATAATCAGTATAATGAAACCTTGTCTGCTAGAATTATGGTTCATTTACAATGCATGTTTAGAGATCTGTTCCTATCACATTGACAGAGGGAGGGGGCAAGGAAAGGTTGTTAGTCAGAACAGACCAGAGGCAAAAGGTAATGGCTTTCTAATTTGTCGCCAGTCTCCTGTTTAATTTGCTGACTCAGAAACTTTTAACCTATTTATAATTTCTTATTTACATGATGCAGTGACAAGCAATTTGTAATCTACACTTGTATGCTCTGGATGCTAGTATTAATTTCAGTTCCTGAACTTTCAGTAGACCATTGCAGTCACAAAAATAGCTTCCTGTTTCTTCAGTTTAACAATAAAAAGGGGCTCTTACGACTCATACATATCCTGGGACCTCTGTGATTTAACAGCAAATTTGGGGATAGTGATCTTCTGCCTTGCTTCCTTCACTGTGCTTAGAAATGCACTGCCTCTGTGGTGTCATCATTTAAGCATTACCCTCTGTTTTCTGTATCCAGCTTCTAGATTCCAGTAACCCAGTTCTTCAGCATTGGGCCAGGTCAAGCTGTGCTACCCACTTTCTTTTGCTGATGCAGCTCTCTGGAGATTCCTCCCTCTCCCCAGTTCACTACAAGTTTCTCAGAGAGGCTCCAAAGAGCCATTCCGCCACTGTGGCATCTTCCTAAGGCAGGATATTCCCCCACCTTATGAGAGGGGTGGCCTTCTTCTCCAGTACAGATTTAGAAAAGGATATTCCCATCCTGTTACTTCCTTGACTCGAGGACCTCACACCTCAAAATTCACTTTGGGAGAATGACATTCAAGCCATTTCAGGTCTTAGCAATTTATTTAAATGGACATTGGTTCCCCAGAGCAGCGTATTGGTAGCTGGCCAGTCAGTAGCTATTACACACTGGCTTTGGCTTCATATAAATCAAGGAACATTGGGCATCTATGTAGGACAAGCCCAACTGCAGAAACTGCAGATTGTAAGGCAAACTTTGATCCAGTGGAGGTATCTTGTTTTATCACAAAGGTAGTTTGTGATAAAACACCTATCAGCATTCCTCCATATGTGCTTTGTGTCTCATCAACCTCTGCAACATTGTAAGGAATCCTTGGACAGGGTGAGCAGAGGGTAAATCTCAGAGTGATTTGTAGTAGATGAGCAAAGACTGACTTGCCGTTTAAACAACAGCAACAACCAAATGGCTTCCTCCATGTGCTTGGAATTACATTGCTGATACAAAGACAGGTTGGAGGATAGATTGTTTTGTGGGATGCAATGTAAATTCCATTCATTTTTAGCACTCTACTTGAAACACATTCCTGGACTCCTTTAATCCTAAGTATCTTTTGCACCAGGCTCTGTTTTGTGATCTTGAGTCTAACACAAAACAAAGCAGATCCCACAAGCTTGAAGTCTGTGGAACCCTTTTCCTAGAGCACATGGATGAAGCAGTGCTACTGCTTGGGAAAGTTAATTCCATAGAGTTTGCACTGGACACTCCATGTAATGGAAATAGCTTGTACAAAATCTACTATCAATAAATACCACCAACATCAGCTTAATTATTGTTGCTTTCTAACAGGAAGGGGCATGAATAGTTTTTGACTAAAGCAGAAGAAATTGAGCTTGGGCAAAACTGATCTTGGAGGTCAATTGTAAATCCACCCTCTCCTTCAAGAGGTGAATGGGTCTTACTGAGAGAAAAGTTGGGCTCCCAGAATTCTCCATTCATATCCAGTATGCTTCCCTAACTCCTGGTCCATTCCACTGCAAGGGAGTAACTTCAAGTATCCCATTTGGCATGGAGGAAGGAAATGAACTCTGAAGATGTACAGCATAGGGTATGGCCCTCCTGGGGTTAATGGCCTCCAACTTTGGCCCAAAGATGAAGGACAATAAGTAATAGGCTAGAGTGTACACTCGACTTCCAGGCAACCAAGGATTAGTGCTTGCACTCTGCTCTCAGTTGCCAACATTCCCACACAAACTTAGGGCAGCATATTTACACAGCCTTTGGTTCCTAAGACAAATTTGGAAGTTTGGCTAAAGATAGGTGCTCTTTTGGCACACCCCTCATATTATTATGCAAAGAAGGGGCCTCTAAATCGGCTGAAATTCTTTCCTACCCTGTGTATTACCTTCCCAGATTCATTTGGCTCCCAGTGCTTCTACACACAGTATATCCACATCCTTAATGCAGTAAGTGCTGCTTAACGCCAAAGGAATGTCAGGTGCTGATACCCTCTGAACTGCTGACAGCCTGGGCTTGATCTTTACCTCAGCATCAAAAGGTCCTCTCCTTTACAGTTTCTTTCCTAACACCTTTATATTTCACACATGCCAAGACTATTATATGACAATGCTGGAATTTCCAGTTTCAAATAGCATTTTTTAAAGTTCCATCGTGTATTAATAATGCTGAGAACAACAGTTCTGTAGCAATATGTAGGTAACATATCCATTCTTTACAGAATATTCAAATAGAGAGTAATGCAGCAGCTAAAACAGATACATTTCAACCACACATTCATTCCTTAGATCAGGGGAAGGCAATCTGAGGCCTACAATTCCCATATGCCCCAGCCAGCATGGCCAATGGTCAGGAAATCTGGTCCATAATGTGTGGATGTCACCGGATTGCAGTATCTGCCTTAGATAAACTATGGCAATTTTACCCCATGCAGCAAGGAGCTTAAATGCAATGCAAAGCACTTTCTTAGTTGCTGCAGCAAATTAAATGGTGGCAGGAGGACTGCGCAGAAGCCCAGTGCAGGGCATATGCTGTCCAGGTTCAGTGTGAGCTCATGCTGATGAAGAACCTGGTTCAATGAAATTCCAAGATTCAGTTTGGTCCTGGAAGGGCTCTCAAAGGGCACTTTAATAACTGCCACCAACACAGTGGGTCAAAGACCTTGAACTGGTTCACACGTAATGGTGACTTGTGGGTTAACCAACTGATGCTCAATTCTGCCTGCCTAGCTGTACATAGCATGACTAGTCAGCTTTGCTAAGCTGGAAGGACGCAGGCCTGTGGCTGGATGGGTGACCACAAGTGGAAGTGGAGCAGAGGGTTGGACTTAGTGACCTTGTAGGCCCCTTACAACTTTATTCCTGCCCTGCCCTGCCCTGCCCTGCCCTGCCCTGCCGTATCCTAATTAGTCCATAATATGCTAGGTAGGAGTGAGAGCAAGCATACCTCTTTCAGTGACTCTCTACTTCCACTTTCTGTAAACAACCTACAAATGGCCCATTTGCAGGTGAAACCCAGCAGTTAACGATAGTTAATAATCCAATGTTCCAGATTGATAAGTTGCAACCCATGAATGGGCCAATTACAGGTTTTTTGCAGAAAGTAAAAGTGAGGTGCAAACAGGAGGCAATGCACTTGCCTACTCCTATTTCTGCATGGCAAATTGCAGGTGAATTAACTGGCCCTTTGTACTGGATTCTTCCCCAGCACCATATTACAAGTAGCACATGCAGCAGTTCATTTCACAACTGTGAAAGTTTAGCTTGACAGCATCACCTAAATTCTTACTGGAAACATTTTATTAATGTGTTTAAAATGATGTGAGGACCAAATTCACATCCATGCATTTATAAACCAAATGACTTTGTTGACTTATCAAATGAAAAACTAAATATTAGTTACGCATAAATCATCTTAAAGGTTTGCAGGGATTGGGAGTTTATAATTTCATAACCTTAGCATGTTTGTTATATTACTAGAAAAATATTTGTCTTATTAAACTGTGGGAATTGCCTACTGTATTCCTATTTCAACAGCTGTTCTGAAAATGAACATGGTTCTTGAAATGAGATAGGTTTGACGAAGAGAATGAAGCAGAGTGCTGAGATAGCATCCCACAGTTATCACCCTTTTCCAGTCCTGTTTTTCTGTGTCACTTGGTTGGATCTGAAAGCAGAAATGCCACCTATCTATTTCTGAAGGGATGGTGGCTTCTCCATTTTACCTATGGATGGTGCCATGTAAGGATGTAGTTAGACAGGATCTACAGCAACAATTTGGATCACTTGTTTTTCTGGAGTTTTGCTGACAGAATTAGAGCTGTCATCCAGAAATTTTCTTTTACCTTGTCCTAAAAAGGAACACCCGTGTTTTAATAGAGGCTTTCTTTTTGAGCTTGGCTTATTAAACCAAACATAGGTCATTGCTATTTCCCAGGACCTCTCCTGGAAGCCATTGGACAAGAATGCCCTGAGGCTTCGAGAGTGCTGCTCAAGTCCAAACACAACTGAGCCAATGTAGTGTTCTTGCCGTTTTGCTTACATTACAGCAGTCATTAAACTTGATTTCATAGCCCTGCTACAAGATTCCATATTAAGTCTAAGCCCATTTTCTTTTCTTTTTCTTTGTAGCTTATGAAGGAATTCCCTCTTCTTAGTATGTTCAATATCCATGAAAATTTGTTGGAAGCTCTGCTGGAGTTACAAGCATATGCGGACGTTCAGGCAGTTTTAGCAAAATACGATGGTAAGTACACTCTTTATGTGAACGCTGTGTGTGCGTGTGTGTGTGCGTGCGTGTGTGTGTATAAAAAAGGAGAAAAGAGAATAGCTTCCTCTAATTTCAGGAAGGGAAATTCTAGTCTCTTCCTGTAGCTTCTCATACTGGAGGGCTTCTTTAATCAATTCTAGGAAGGTTGTGGTATAGTTAACATAAGCACCTTTATATTTTTGGGACAAACAGACTTTAAATGACAAGTATATCATCTTCGCTTTTTCTGCTTGGGCAGAGGTGCTCAAACTGTGAGATGGGTCCACTGTGCCTAGGCACACCTGCAGGGAGCACGGTATTCTTGAGGAAGGAGAAAGAGGCTTCTGTACTGGCCAAAGCCAGAGGGGCACTTGAACATTCCTGCCACCAAAGCTGCCAACTGTGGAAACTGCAGGGGCAGCAATCTGAGGTTCTTCTGACCATGGCTGTTTCTCCTTTGCTCACCCTGTTTTAAGATTATCCCCCATTATCTTGATTTTAGGGTCTTAATTTTTTAATGGAGAACTACCCTGCAAACTTTGGCCATTGGATTGTATATGCCTTAGATTGCATGTAGATGAGGCACGTGCAACTGGGGTGGTGGAGAACATGGCGCTGTCTTCTTCCGTACAACAATCTCTCCAGCCCTGTAAAAATTCCGTATGGAAAAGGCTGGAGACCCTGCTGGGCAGGTTAAGTTGGATTCAAGTTGGGGAAATGAGGGATGTCCAAAATTTAAGTGGATGCATCTTCTGGGAGCAGAACTGATGTTCCCCTGATATTTTGGGAATCCCCCCCACCCTGTAACTTCCCTCATTCAGTATATTCTGCCATTATTCAGTAGAATGGTGCTGCATTTATTGCAGGAGGAAGGAGCCAGTGGAGTGGTCTGCTTCAGTCACCCCAATTGCACGCTGCTAAATATGCATAGTATCTATTGTAAATTTTAAACATATGTCATTAGATTAGGGTTGCAGTTTCCAAAGCACAAACATGTATGTTGCCTTATAGACGTGTTGGACTAACAGTTGTTGGAGTATTCTGGAAGTTGTGGTCCAATATATCTGGAGCGTATTCTTTTGAAGAATGCTGCCTTACTCAGTGTGTTTTCTTACTAAACAGAGAATGGGGTGGGGGAATGCTCAGGGTACAGTGTAAATGTAGGAGGAAGTGAGGGTTTAAGAAACAACAGTGAACAGCTCTGGGTCACTGGGTCAGTGTTTGTCTCTAAGCTTGCTGGCTCAGCATGTCTTCTACTTCAAATGTCTTCTTTCAGTTTTCTGAGGTGACCTTTGGTTTTTCTGCCTGGTGTCTGAAGTAAACATTCCTCTGGCAATGTTCTTTCCATCATACCTATATCATCCCTGGCAAGAGCACCCCCCACTGCTGCTCCCTAAACCATTGGAGACCTGCTTCTCATCCAAAATCTGATTTGGGACATGCCTTAGAAAAACCAAACTGCTCCTGGGTCTCCATCACCCCACACAGCTATTCCCAATTAGCATTTCAGAAGAGTCCACTTTTACCTCAGGCAAATGTACTTCTGGGTGGAAAGGAGAAACCAGAGGCATGTATCTGAGCATAAAATCAGGGACCAAGTTAAAATGGAAAAGTATCAGTGATGTCAGTGAATTCCAAAACCATATCGATGTGTCTTGGCAACAGTGCAGGTCCTGCCATCAAGATACCTTATCCATTAGCCATGGCTTTAGATGTCTTTCTTGTTGCCAGGTATATAATTGAAACCATCTATAATGGCACACCATTTGCTTTAAAAGGGGCTATTTACTCGGTGGTTCTTTGCCAAATGAAAACAAAGGAGTGGGAACAACAGAAAGATTAATTTACCTGAGGGGTTCATATATTTCAGTAATGTTCTTGCTACATGATATTGATGAGTTTGAAAATGAGCCAAAAAGCACTTTACATATTATAGATGCTGCTCATCTGCGCCCATTCTGTAGCACTGAGCTTTTATTAGCTGCTTAATTAATATTATTAATGTCAAAGGACTTTGGCTTGATGAAACAGGTCTTAGCTTCTCACCCTTCATCTCTGATTAAAGGAACTGAAGTAACCACATTGCAAAAGACCTTTGGCTGAGACTATGTCAAGAATATGCAACAGGCAGCCTGAATTTCTGGTATCAGGCAGCTCTTTATACTAATGGGCTGGCGTCTTCTGCCTTCATCCTGTGCAAAAGTGCAGTGGTGCCATCTTAAGAACAGCAGCAGTTCTACAGGGGGATCTTGGGTTTGGCATTTGGGCCAGGTCAGCTTTGCTACTTTGCCAGACAGTGAAAACCAATTATGACTTCCTAGTATATATAAGATACCTGGAATTGTTGCACCAGTGCAGTTGGTCCTCAGATAACATAAATACTTTTGAATTCTAGCTTAGTGATACACAGATGCTGTTGGCCCAGTTAAGACTTGCTGAAGGGCCTCTTCCACAGAAAAATGGGCTCCCCTCAGAATTCATTGTAAATGAAAACATCCTTGAGCCCCAGGAACACTGGATTGTTTTCCATTGAAGCAGTTATTTTTAATGGTACTGAGAGCAAGTTATTATTTTTAATGGTACTGAGAGCAAGAGTGCAAATTCTGGCTAATGTTGCTAATTCTGACCTCAATAGTGCTGCAAAAATGGAGACATTAGAGAGGACTTTTGCTTCTCAGAGGATCATGACATTCATATAAGAATGGTTTTTAGAGATGTGTTGCTTTGCTTTTATGCTTGAGTAACAAAAAAAGACTACCTTGTTGAATCTCCTGAAATTGGAAGTGAACAAAGGCCTTGCTTCTGCTGTAAAGCATGATCATCTATTCACCTGCTTCTCTTTGTCCTTTCTAACTATACAGCCCAGCCCTTTGTTTCTTACAAGCAGGGTAGAGATATATTACACAAGGATCTCAGTACAGAGATCCCATCCCAGGTGTTTTGTAGCAAAATCTGGCCTGCCTGGGATCCCACTCACAGATGGCCAGGCCTGTTCCCTTGAGCCTGCTCCCTTTCAGCTGAGCGCTGATCAGGTGGTTGTCCAGCTTTTTGCCTGATTTTCCCCATTCTGAACAGTCTGAATGCCTCTCCCAAGACCAGTTAAATGCTAAAGCATTCCAGCATGTTTAGTAGGTTTTCTGCACCCACCCACCATTGGCATGTAATCCCCAAGAGCAGAACAGAACTGAATTTGGCCTGGAGCTGAAGGAGGTTCAACACCACTGCACTATCCTCGTAAACCAAATATTGTGTGACAAGGGAAAATTGTTTTGGGATTATTAGCTATAGTTAAATAACAAAACAAAGTAAGCAGAGCGCTGCTGGATCAGTTCAAAGATCTAACTGGTTCGTTGTTCTCTTTCCTATGATGGTCAACCCAGTGTGCCCTGAGAAGCCCACAAGCAAGATATGAGGGTGCCTTGCCCAACTGATACTCCCAAGCCACTGTACCCATGGTTTATTTAAAGCATTGTTTGCTATCCTGCCCAGAATCTGTCTGGCAGGTGATTTCTGTTCGCTGTGCTTCTTTCCCTGTATCATAGTGGTGCTGAAGCACTGACAGAACTTCATCATTTCATCCGCCTGTTTGCCACTGGTCTCTTGAGACAGGGCATGGAAGATGCATCAGTTGTTTCCAACACTGTTCATAGATCTCTAAAGTAAAGGTACTTTCTGCCTACTCTAGCCAAAGCACTGGGAAATATCTTTTCAGATAATATAACACACCACAGCTGATTTATCTATTTCTAGTCACTGGATAGCTCATATGAGTACTTTGCAGAAAGGAAGAATGTATTTCTCAGGTAACTTCTGGAAGTTGTTCTTGATCTCTAATCGGTCAGCCTAGGAGCTCAGGAAATGCTTGGGAGATGTAGGACTTCCTTCTGTATAAACTTGCATAGGATTGTGCCTTAAGAATCATTGTTTCAGGAAAGCTAGGGATCTCTTATGAATGCTTGTTCATTCAAGTTTCTGCCCAGTCATATATGACATGGGTGGCAAGGACATGTGTGTTGTTTTAACATGAAAGGAGATGAATGGAAACAGAATCCTCACCTCTTTTCCATATGTATGGTATGTTGCCTCAGCCGTTTCTCCCAGCTGGTTCTTTTCTGGTATCTCAAGCATCCCTGGGGTGATGGGCCACAAGAAGATAAGATTCAGTTTTCATCACCAGTGCCCTCCTTTTGATTTTAAAGTTAGGCGGCAGCACATTTGATAATGTGCATCAGGCAGACACATGAACACGAGATATTTATGTATTTATTTATGAATAGTATAAACTGCCCTTCATCCAAGTGGTGTAGCTTAAGCTGGATCTTGGGGCCAATGTCCAGAGCCCAGCAGGACCCCAAATGACTTCCCATGGCACAGCAGGTACAGAAGCAAACTCCATTTCTTTCTGGCAGTGCTTGTAAGACTGTTACTTAAGTAAGTTTAAAATGCAAAGCAGCACATTAAAAAAAGGTTGGTGGACAGCTTTGTTATTGTCCTAACATACCAGGAATGTGGAAGCCATTTTAAAGCAAGGAATAAAAGCTTTGGAATAGGCAGAGGCAGGTTAAGGGAAATGTGTGCTTCTCAGCTGAAGTAATACACACAGAGTCTGTTCACCTGATATAACAGTCCACTAGTAGCACTCAGTCATGGTTAGCTACTCTGCCATCCAACCCCAGAACATTTTCTGTGGGGTGTCTTTCTTTTAGTGAACAACCTGTGGGTTCTCAGCATTGTTCTTGCCCAAACTGGGTTGTCATATTGGCCCAGAGATCAATTTTATCAAGGATTGTGGTGATTGGTTACAAAAGCAGCTCACTGAAAAAGCCTGTGCCACTTTCGTTTCATGATCTCGTCAGTGACTGCTTTCTGCTGATGCTGAAAGAGCACTTTTGAAGGACTCTTGCTTGTTCCTATTATCATTTTTCTATTATTATTTTTCTGTGCCTCAGAAATGCGCTGGTAGGGATTGTAGTTTTGTGTGTGGGGCAAGAACTGGTCTTTCATTCTCTGCAGCTGTGTTTGATTGAGGGGCAGGGCTGAAAGCAAAAGTGGCAGGACTAAAATATTCCAAACACTAGCCTATTTTAGCATAAACTTCTTACTCCCACTAATTAATCTTCTGGAGAAGATTTCAGCCTTTAAGAATCAGAGTACAAATTGCACACAAACTGGGCAACCACCAGCTGATCTGTAATTGAGAGAATCATGGCCTTGGAAAGGGGGCATTGCCATCTGGGGAAGCCTGAATGGCTGGACTGAGGCCCCACGCAGGCTGGATTTGGCCCTGGGCCTTAAGTTCTGCACTGGAAAGGATGCAGCTGCCAACTCCTTATCTCATGCACTTAGCAAACATTTCAACTAGGAAAATGTTGGACTACAAGTCCTTTCTGAATGCAGTTCTAGATGGGTTTCCGTATTTTGCAAAATTATTTACTTGTATATTTTTTCTTCACTCTGTGTGTGAACATAAAGGAATCACAATTTTTAAATGTTTGCTTTATTTCCACAGATATAAGCTTACCAAAATCAGCAACGATATGCTACACAGCTGCCCTTCTCAAAGCCAGAGCTGTCTCTGACAAGTAAGTCCACAAGAACTTCTGGCCGCTCTGTAAACGTGGCTAACATTTAACATTTTTCATAGCTGAAGGACTGTGAAAATATTTGTCTTGCTGCAAAACCCCAATATACTTATATTTGCTTGATTTTGTGTAATGGAGAGTATCAGAATTGCACATGGTGTGGCTAATAATGTTACTTCATTGTGATGATGGGAATGCAGCTGGGGGGCGGGGGTGGTGATGTGACCGCCTTCTTGTTGTGCACCAAAAAGCGACGATACAATTAGTGTAATTCTGGTATGTTGTCCTTCCCAGCAGAATGATTTATTTTGTTTGTACAGGGTGGTGGTGGGTATGTTGTTATTTATTTGAGGCAGAGAGACCAGGGATTTACTGCTTAAGAGTTCCGGGCAGGCAAGTGATGCAGTAATAGTTCGGCCTGTCAAACACAACTGTCTGCTTAGGAGCAGCTCTCCCGCTTTACCAGAGTAAATGAGAGGAGCATGGATTTGGGTAAGGTGCCCCCTGCCCAGCACCTTACGGGAGGAGAGGGGCTCCTAAAAGCCAGGGGTGCGCAGAGGCGGACTTGCACAGATCCCGAGCAGGAGCCCCGTCATGTACATGCGACCTGGGTTCAGAGAGTGGCCCACCGGGTGGGGAGCGAGCAGTGTGGGAAAGCCTCCTTTCCTTCCTGCTTTTGGCAGTTTGCTATAAGAGTGTGTGTGCACTTCAAGACCTGAGTAATTTTTTTCTTTCATTCTTTTTTGTCCTGTAGATCGCCAGTACCAACTGCAACATCTTTCCTCCCTACACAGCGACTCCAGCTTGGGAGGGCAGGGCTAGGTTTGTCACAGCTTTCCCTGTGGTGTCTGCCTGCCAAGTACAGCTATGGAGTTAGCCGTGGGGTGTGAGGTGAGAAAGAGATTGCATGGTCTGGGTTTTTCCCCCTCTCTTCCATTCACTGGGGCAGATGATATTTGCCCACAGTATGGGCACACCACCAGGGACAGGTGCAGCGGGAAGTATATCACCCCCTACTGGTACTGTACCAAACTTTCATCTCAACCGGTCCCAGTGGCATTGGGTTGAGAACTCCACTAAAACCTTCCCAAAATGTAATTTAAAACCAACACCTCCTGAACAGTTACTGGCATATTTTTCCTTTTTTTTCCTCCCTCCCTTGAGAGATTTTGGACCCGATTTTAAAAACAAGCATATAGCACAAATTAGATTAGCAGACAGACAGAGGGAAATTTGACTGCTCTAACATTTGCGATGATTCCTTGCAAGCGTATTTTCTACTTCTGCTGGGATTTTTCATCAATAGCTCATGTGTCATTTGGTTGTTCAGAATTTCCTTTTGTTGTAGAGATTTTTGGAGAGAGCTAAGGAAACTGGCTTAGGTTGGTTTCACAGGCCCCTGCTACTTAGAATCCTCCATTTGCTTCTTTCTGGTGCCAAAGTTGATCTCTGTGCTTCTCCTTTCTTCTGTTCTTCATAGATTTTCTCCAGAGGCAGCATCAAGACGGGGACTGAGTACAGCAGAGATGAATGCAGTAGAAGCTATTCACAGAGCAGTAGAATTCAACCCACATGTGCCAAAAGTAAGTTTGTTGTGACTCTTCTGCAACTACTTCAAACAGGAACCAGTATGAAATTGAGCAATAGGTTAACAAGTTAGGACTGGGTGTAATGTAGTGCTCATGTAGTGCAACTGGTTTTACTATCAGTGGGCTGGATTGGGTCATATTTAAAATAGACCTGTTGAAATATCAGTGGGACTTAAATTAGTCGTGACGAAATCAAGTCTCATCGATTTCGGTGAATCCACTCCCATATGGCCAGTCTGGATCTAACCTCGGATGTACAAAATGTGTGGGCCATCCATTTTGCCAGCACTGATCTGCATTCTGCAGAAAGAAAGGTGTTGCATTGAATAAATTTACTGATAGACAATCAGTTTTATCAGCAAACTTTCTGCACGTGCCACAAAAAGCCATCACTTTCTGTCTTTCCATCTGAAAAAGATGATTCTACCAAGGTTGCTATGCAGCCTAAACTGAAAGAAGATTGTCCGTTTTCATCTTCTGTCAGGGTTTCTTCTCATTGATCTTAATGTGCCCTTGACTTTCTCCCATGCCTCAAATCATCATGAATACATGACATGGAAATGTGTTCAGCCTTAGGCAGCAATCCTATGTACAGTAAGAAAAAAGCCTCACTGAATGCAACTGCTTTTACTTCTGTTGAAACTTGCATGAGATTCTGCCAACAGTGGGTCACAGCTGACTGTGTGAGTTGCTTTCGTGGGCAAGTCGTGTGTGAGGTGAGGGGCAGTGATAAGAAAGTTACTTGGTATTTTCTCTGTGATACCTTTTTCAGACGTGAAAATCATCATATGACCCTGCATTCTTTGGGCATGCATGTGTAAACTCACCCTTAGTCTAGAGATACCTCTGTCCAGGACTTTCAAGTCCTGCCTGATAAAGGTGCCATGCTATTCAATTTGTTATTCAGAGATTTTCTGTACCACTACTCCCCCACCAACCCCATTCCACCTTTCTACGCATTCTTTTTCCCTCACACCTTTTCTGCAACAAGTTCCCAAAGTCTTTAATTACATTTTTTGAGCCTCAGGATTTATCTTCCTCTTCTTTGATCTCATATAATACCTTTCAAATGTTCTCTTCCCTCATTCTTTGAAGCTTCTTTGTGAGTGCATCTCTTTTGTCTTAAGCTATTTCAGAAGTGATAAGTAAATTTATTTTAGCATTACCAGCGGCATTTAATTTAAATGTAAAACTCCTCAGCTAGAATATTGATGTGCTTTTTAATACTTTCCTTCCACTTGTCCTCAGTATTAGCAATAGTCTGAATGTCAGTCTGAAGGTTCTGAGTGCCACATGTGAAAATATCTTTAATGTTAATTTCTCAGCACATCCTCGTTTTATCCGTCTTTCTCTTTAGCAATCTTAGAACTGATCTATAATAGAACTGATCTATAACCATTCCAAAGAGGTGTACTAGCAAAGAGGGTTGATTGTTTGGATGCGGCCCTTCTCAGCCTAGAAAAACAAAATAAGTATGATGGGGATAAGGTTATGCTAGACTAGACTAGTATTAGTACTCTCTGACATCTTATTTTTTAGAGAGCTGTTTACACTGCAGGGCACTCACACATGGGACAGCCCCCCCCCCCCCCCACACACACACTTCGCCATACACCTGCAGTCCAGTGAAGTTTCCAGATTTCAAAAAAGTCTGAAGATCTGTGTTTCAATATATTCATATTGTTGAAAGAAGGAAAAAAGCCATGTATTATTGAAGGATGTTGGTTGAAATGCATCTGTGTATGTACGCAGAATGGCAGCAGCACGATCAACACAGGTCTTTGACAGGCATGGCTAATAAAGAGGTCTCTTTTCACTGTGTGTAATAGTCACTCTCAGAGGTAGAATCAGGGAGCTGGCCAGAGATACAGGTGCATCTGGAGAGCACATTCATGTGATCTGTTGTTAAGGTGGGGGAAGATGAAGGGGGCGTTTGCACAGAATACTCCTGGCACAAAGAGCATGTGATACTTCTGAACATGAAGTTTGATCCACAACTCTGTTAATGTATGGCCTTCAGTGTATTCAGAACAGAAATCAGTCCTGCAGTGCTTATTGCTGTCCTTTTTACTTAATTGCTTTTGCAGTCTACTAATTTGGAGGTATTCCTAACTCCTTGCAAAATTCAGCCCAGAGCATAAGCCTATGGCCTTCGTAACGCAACTGCAAAACCCATAGGATGTGCTCCAACATCGTCCCCTGTGGTGGAGTAAGAACAAGCACCAGCAGCTCAACATTGCAAATTGGGCCTTGGAGTGGGGAGAAAGGGGCATGCAGGGGGCAAGGAAGAGAGTAAGCTGGACCACAGAGTTGTACCAGGTCATATAGCTGCCCCATCTTTTTTCGCTTTCTGGGACTAAATCTAGACAGCCAAAAAGAGCCCCCTAAATAAAGGAAAGTACATGAGCTTCCCCACCGCAGCTGTGCCCTGCATTGGATGCTTGTTTACCCTTTACTTTTACCCCATTTTTGCCACAACTCAGGCTTCTAACAGCTTTTTTCTTTGCATTTGTACACTTAATATTCTGTGGATGGGGCTAATCAAGTTTTGAAGTAGTCACTCCCAGGTTTGTGTTTGATGCTTCTTCACGAGACCTTCCATCCACCCTATGGTTATCAGTGCAGGATTCAGATAACTGTGAATGCTCTTTTTTTCCTCTGACAATAGCAAATTCTCTTGTACAGATAAAAGCCTCTAGATTTTCATTAGAGCAATATTCTTTCTATGGATTGTTTCAGTGCATCCTTTTTCATGGGTTGCTTCACCTATTATGTGAGTTAGTGGGGAGGTTGACTGTGTTCCCATTGTGTCCCATGTGGTGTGTGAGAACAATCCTCATTCTGGTTTGTTTAGCTGCATGTGCTTATGCCATGTAGAGCAACAATAGTGACCCCAGGCCGTTCAGAGCAGCTCTCCAGCATCCATAAAGTTGGACTTGAGGACATTTGTCATTTGCTTTGGGTATACAGAGTTAAAAATAAACGAGTGAGAAAAGAATACGGCTTTTCAAATATTCTGCAAGTTATCCCAAGCATGGACAGTGAAGTGATGCTCTGAATCCTGTATTATTCAATCTCTCAGAAGAGCTGGTCCATGTAAATGAATTCTAAACATTTACTTAATACAGTAACATAAATGAATAGTTCTAGTAATATATAGGGTTGTATTTCATCATGCTTAGAGTAGACACACTGAAATCAATGGTGGCTAGTTAGTCAGGAATAACTTAAAAGCTATTGACATAAATGGGTCTACCCTACGCATGACCAATTCTGAATCAGTATATGACAAAAGCAGTTTCATTTGGGCTTTTCAGACTCTTAAGCATCTCTGCCCTTCATAGAAACTGATTCTAGAACAGTTTACATAATTAAAATATCAAATGATAAAAATTAATTGGCAGAATAAAACAAAACCATGCAAAAAGAAGCATAGTTTGGCATTTAATAGTGGCATGGTTTATTAAAATATATTTTGAAAAATACTAGCATTTCTTTTCCAAGTGAAGAGTAAATATGGTTGGTTTATTTTTGGAAAAACTAATCATATGCAGTGTTACTAATCCAACCTTTAAAAACACTATAACCCAAAAGGGGATTTGGGCAGCTGTTAAGAACTGTTAATGGATTGCTGGAAGCTGGCAGTATTGAAATTCAGAATAGCATGATTCTGAAAAAGAAAGTTCACATACATTAATATGCATGAACTGCATTATCTGCAGTGCAGTTCTATGCACATCCACTAAGGAGACCTATTGATTCCAGTGGAGCTTACTCAAAGATGAGTGTGTGTACAAGATTGTAGCCTTAAAGCTACGGTTTTATTCTTATCATAACTATTTGCTTTGCAAGTGGTATTTTACTTTAAGTCAGAGATTGGAAGCATGTGGCACTTCAGAAATCATTGGACTGCAACTCCCATCAGCCCCAGCCAGCATAGCCAATGCTGAAGGATAACAGAAGTGAAATCAGAAAGATCTGGAGGACCACACTTCCTATCCCTGCTTTACAGTTCCGCCTGTTCCCCAAAGAGCTGTTGGGGACAGCCCTTGCCACCTGCTGACATATTTCAGTGTACATATTTCACTGATTGATGAGCAGGTGCAGTTAGGACGACACAAGTCTAATGAAAAGGCATGTAAATTGAATCCTGCCATGGAAGGTTGTAAAATTTCATGTGGGGAGTCTGTAGTTCCACACTCCTAAAATGACTGTGATATTCTTTTCGTTGCAGTATCTCCTAGAAATGAAAAGCCTAATATTGCCCCCTGAGCACATTTTGAAGAGAGGCGACAGCGAAGCAATAGCTTATGCTTTCTTTCACATTCAGCACTGGAAAAGGGTCGAGGGGGCACTGAATCTCTTACATTGTACGTGGGAAGGCAGTAAGTAATTCAAGTCCTAAGAAACATGGCAGGAGGTGAATGCCAAATGCCGCGGTAGTTCATTCTCTTGTTGTATGCAGCACAGCTCCTTGCCATGAAAAGCCCCTTGCACAGTTCCAGCTGTTGTGTCAGTCACATCAGCACCTAGTCTGCAGTCTCTTCTTGCAGAAATAGGGGCTCCTGTGCACGCATGCCTTGTCTGTACAGAGGCTCGTGCATGGAAGATGCACATTTAGTTCATGCCTTACTACCAGAATGCTAGTCTCGCCTTTTGCACGAACGAGGAATATCACTGAGAATTGGCATTTCTTCGGCTTAGCCAGCCAGGCACAGCAGCATTTGGAAATGTAGAATACCATCTTTGCACTAACAAAACATTCATGACCAAGTGGGCAGGGGACTTCTGTTTGCACATGCCTAAATCTGGTTCTTATCTATGAGATTTAAAAATTGAGGACTTTCTCCATCAGTTCTTGATACTCCTTGTAATGATTTAAAGTGCTATGACTGTGGTTCCCAACCTTTTTGGCACCAGGGACCGGTTTCATGGAAGACAATTTTTCCATGGACCGGGGGGTGGGATGGTTTCTGGATGATTCAGGCACATTATATTTATTGTGCATGTTATTTCTGTTATCGCATTGCAATATATAATGAAATAATTATACAACTCACCGTAATGCAGAATCAGTGGGAGCCTCCCCCGACCTGCATCCCTGCCCTTACCTGCTTCCCATTTCTCTCGCTGATTGCGTGCACCCTCCCCAGCTTCTCCACCCCACTTGCCACCTGGCTCTGCTGCCACTCCCTCCTCCTTTCGAGGCCCGAGACCCAAAGGGGCCCTATGATAATCTGTATTTGCAGCTGCTCCCCAGCAGTGAGTCTAGTGCTGGGGAGTGGCTTCTAATACAGATGAAACTTCACTTACTTGCCTGCCACACACAACTGCTGTGGAGCCCAGTTCTTGACAGGCAACGGACTGGTACTGGTCTGCAGCCCCAGGTTTGGAGACCCCTGTGCCATGAGATTGTGTTCCTTTAAATGTTGGTAAGTTGCAGAAGGGTGGGGGGGGGATAAAAGAGGGGATGGGTGAGTGAGGTGATTGGCTGGTCACTGGGAGCGTGTGGGCGGGGCTTGGAAGTGCGTGAGCAGAGAGGAGACGACAGGTATGCACCTGTGGGCAGGTAGCAGCTGCAGTGCCGGTCTGGCAGCAGTCGAGAGGCTCTGAAGAGGCAGCCTGCTCTTTCGAACCCTGCACAGAGCTGTGGAAGGCAGTCGGGATTCGGGAGGAAAGGAACAGAAGAACACTTGGAGGACAGCTTAGCCACTAGGAAGAGTCAGGGCCTAATCCTGCCAGGTACTCTAAGGCCATGAGGAATAGAAGCTGACAGCAACCTGAGTGCAGAAGGGAGAGACTGAACTGAAACAGATGGCATCGAGACTGGCCGAAGAGCATTCCCAAGCGCAAGCAGCATCCGAGAGTGTGGCGGGAAAGAGTCAGCGGTTATTGTGCACTGTTTTGCTTACTAAGGAAATAAGCTCCTGAACATCTTGAAACCAACATGCTTCTTGTACAAATGCCGTTTTATTTTGTTCATGGTTAACCCAAAGTCATGGGCCATTTGAATAGAAGAGTCTCATTCTCAGGACCACATAGTCCAAGGAAGGAGCCTTATAGCTTGGGCACAGTCCAGTGGGAGAAGTTAGTTGATAGAATTGGAACTAAATTCTTGGTGGCAGTATTACATACACAGAGAAAGAGAGGGAAATATCAAGACACACCATATCCAAATAAATTAATGGAGAATAATCATGACTCTCATTCATATTGACAGTATCACCTCATTCTGTTCCCCTAAAAAGCAATGCAAAGGCTTTGTTCACTAAGTCTGAGTTGCTTCTAAAGTTATGAGAATACAAAGGTTCTCAAATACACCAAGTTTCTGTTATATTTATTTGCTTGGGAATAGGATACCTGACACCAGGAGGATCTGTGATTAAGTGAATCTATTTACAGTGAAATTCACTGTTAAAAGGACCATGTGAGTAGTAAATGTAAACAACAATTTAACTGGGAAAGTTTACACAATTGTTTTATTGTTTTGGGCCCTGCAAGGCCATAGTGGCAACTGAAAGCATTTTTGCAGTGTTTATGTGCTAATTTTTTATTTTTATTTTGTCAGTGTCTTGAAAGCCTTGTCAGCTCTAGAAATGGTATAGGGAATTTAAAATGGCACCAAATACACCAATTGTTCATCAACAAAATATAAACCATATTTTCTATAATTATGATAAATTGCTTTCAGATGCAACAACCTTTGAAATGTTTCTTCATGCCCTCTCTAGCTTTCAGAATGATCCCCTATCCATTGGAAAAAGGACATCTTTTCTACCCTTACCCCATCTGTACAGAAACAGCAGACAGAGAACTTCTTCCATGTAAGTATAAGATTTTCCATGTACTTCAGTCTCCAAGAAAGTAAAAACAACCCATGTATCTCTGACTGGCCTTTACAAACAACAAATATTCCTGGGTGAAAAACCTTTGCGCCTGAACTCAGCATGGAGGCAGTAAACAAGATATGATTCGTCCTTCCTCACTGGCACAGATTTCTGTCATTGGCTTAGAGACAGCAACGGGTTTTTGCGTTTGATCATGAAGAGCTGAGTTCTTAGGCTCAGTTGGGTCATGAGGATGTTGGGTAACGAGGATGACTGACTGCACTGTTCCAAAAGCTAGCAATTAGCTGAAGCTGATGTGATACATGCTGTTTTGAGGATAACCCAATTCCTTGTGTGCATAACATGCTCTGTAGTGAAAGAACTGCGCACGTTACTGAAGTGTTGTGAAGGATTCACTTGAATGTATGGCTGTGCAAACTGCCATGGTCACAGTAATGACTGGTGGTACACCCCTTTTCCATTCCTGAATTGTTTAGAGAACTAGATAGAAATAAATATTTTTAGAGGAAGGCCCTTTTCCCTACTTCTTCCTTTCCTCATTACCTAACTTTGCCTGATAACTCTGTTCCAGTTCGCAGAAACCTTGAGAGGGCTTTGCTCTACATTTTTGTGCTAACTCTGATTATAACCCCACCTTTTGGAGAAAGAGCTCAACATGTTTCACACTAAGGCAGTCAGTATTACATGGAGGGAGGATGGATTAAAATAAGTAATTCAGAGTCCTTCCAAATGGCAAAACCCACAAAAATTGTATCCTTAACATTTAGCATTGTTGCTGAACTTTAGGTACCTCTGTAATCAGTGCTCCTTTTTAGGAATCTTGTTATTGGAATATAATAGGAGAAACAGCAACTTCTTAAATCTATTGTTTTATGTGATTTTATTCATTGGCTTTTCCTGTTGCTTTTTTTTCATTAACTTCTGCAAGGACCACTGAGTTACAAAAACAGCATAGCAACCACCATCACTCTTCCATTACTGTCAAAGGAGATAACATCTAACAAGAACTTTTTCAAAATATTTGAATGAAAAAAGATTAAATAGGAAACAGTTTAAAATGTTAACATGTTGAAAAGTCTTGCTTATGTTCATGATTTAGCAACACTTACTGGTATTGTAACATTATATAACTTTAAACAGAATATGTGGATGGAGATTTTGTGTATCTAGGAAAGAAAGAGATGAATTGGAAGAATGCTAAAGGAGCAGAAAAGCATATAGTTGGCTGGGGAATACTGGGAGCTGTAGGCCTTTTCTCTGTCTAAACATGCACTAAACACACAGATTCCACCCCAAATGATCTTTTAAAAACTTTCTTAGGAAGAGATGCAAGATGGAATATTTAGAAGGGGGTTACCTTCATTGAACTGAGCCTGATAACAATAAAACCTCACTGATAGAAGCTTTAAAATATACATATAATTATCCTGTTTTTCCCTTGCAGCATTTCATGAAGTCTCAGTTTACCCCAAGAAAGAGCTTCCTTTCTTTATTCTCTTCACTGCTGGATTATGTTCCTTCACAGCTATGCTAGCCCTTCTGACACATCAATTCCCAGAGCTAATGGGAGTCTTCGCAAAAGCAGTGAGTATGATCTCTTCATGCTCCTTGCCATGATAGAACAGAGGGAGGGTGGGGTACGTGACTTAATAAATTCAATAGGACTGTATGGAAGTCCGCACTGGAGTGTGTTTCATGGCTCCACTCTTAGCATGAAGAGCTAGGTCTTTGCAAGTATTTCAACCATATAATAAAGAATACAGTGTAAATCCTATTCAGGAAAATATTTCAATGCATTCTATGATGCAGTTAAACTCTATGAGGCAGAGTTTGGGGAAAAATCATGGAAAAGCTATTTAAAAGCATATTGCTGTAGAGTGCTAAGCAGTAAGCCAGGAAATCTCCAGAACAAATTTCAGCCCATCCATGAATTCACTAGGTAGCCTTAAGCTGCTGTTCTTGACCTACCTTATGGTTTTGTTGCACATGAGACAATGAGAAGTATTATTAAAAGATGTAAAGTAAGATTTCTAAAAAGGAACTCAAATTCATGCGAAACCATAAACAACCAGATTGTTTTAATGGATGAATTTACACAATAATTTATTTCCTTACAAGAGAACCATTGTCAGGTGGCAATCATTCCCTGACCTTCTCTTAGTAAAATTGAATTAAGAAGCAGTTTCCATATAGTTTGATTTCATAATTACCTAAATTGCTTCTGCTGGGAGGAGGCACCTTTGCCATAAAGATGGAGGAGGGAACATGGTCTTTTCTAACCAGTACTTGCCACTCTTTAAGTATACTGCAGGCAATGAGTACCTTGAAGTGTGTTTATATCCACAGTGTAGAATACTTTTTTAAGTTCACTTATTTTTTAGGGATTGGGAAGCTGTTGGGCAGATGTGGACCTTGCAGATTTCTCATTCAGCCCCCTGAGATTATCCTTCATAGCCCTGCTATTAGATACATTTTCTTCTGCTCAATTCTTAGAGAGTTCATTCACAAAGGCCATTTTGTAGCCCTTCTAGAAGATTCAGCCAAATATATATATATATATATGTATGTATGTATGTATGTATGTATGTATGTATCCTGCCTTTTTCCTACAAAGGGCTCAAGGCAGCTTACATCTCCTCCTCCATCTTACCCCACAACAACAACCCTGTGAGGTAGGTAGGTTGGGCTGGGAGTCTGTGACTATAGATTTTTGACATTGCTGGGGAATCCATAGTGTTTTTCAAATTCGAAGCAATAAGGTTGGCCTAGCTCACCGCTTGGACCCCAGAAACTGTGCCCTGCCCAACCCGTGTGCAGCTAGCATAGCAAGAACTTCATCAGCTCTCTTTGAGGTCGCAACTGGGCTTCAGAGCGGGGATAAAGTGGTGTGCGGGGGGACACAAGAGGAGGCTGAGGCCACAGAGTTGCTTCCGTTCCAGCTGGCACCCCAACCTCTTCCTTCCCGCTAACTGGCCCTAAGTTTAGATGTCTGAAAATGTCATCTACATGGAATGATAGACACAAGGCACAGTGGTGGCAGACACGCCTGCCATCTCCTTCCTGCTTTTCAGTGGATGCTTGTTAGTAAGTATCCTGTTGGTAGTGGCTGACCTCTTCCCAAGGTTCAAAGCATCCCACTTTGAGGAACCTTGTCTGAAAGCTTTCTTAGAATTCTGTATCTTGAAAAAATTGACTCATTGTCAGAACCTGTTAGTGCAGGGGTATTGGATTTCTTTCAATGTGGCCAAATTCAGTTCTAGATAATTGCCTTTTTTTAGTAGACAATTTTAGTAGTGGACAGAGCTAAAAGCAAATAGAGGACTGGTACGTTTTCGTTCAAAGCTCTTCCTGCTAGTAGCTAAGCTTTAAAGGAGATGTCTCAGCCTTTTAGAATGGGGCAAAAACATGCAAAAACTGGGAGACAGCCAAGCAGTCTGCAGTTGGAGGAGAGGTAGTGGGGTTAGGAGAAGGAACGTGACCATCTGGAGAACCATGGAGTGTCAAACTGGGGCTCTGCATGAAAGAAATTTCAACCATGTGGCTCAGCTGCAACACCCTTGGTGTAAGGTTAAGAGAGAGAGAGAGATCACACAGCTGCACTGATGCTTGTGAAGATGAGTTCTAAAATATGCATTCTAGAAAATGGTTCTGTCACTTCACCATGGAGTGCAGTGCAAGGTGATAATGACAATTTGGAACAAAGAGAGTACCAAAAGTTAGAACAAGCAAACAACAGAAAAAGGGCAAGAGATTGAGAGAGAGAACCTAAATTAGCAGGCCAATATAGCACAGAAAAGAGTTTAATAGGAACCATCTTTAGAAAATTTGATCACACTTCATAATGTCGACCCTAGATGCTTTCCTTTACTATGCACTGTCTGTAGGAAAAGTGTATACTGATTTGTAACTTAAGGAGGTGTGATATAGTGATCTAGAGTACAGGACTAAAGGTTAAACTCAGGAGATCTGGTTCTTGTCCCAACTCTGCCATGGAGCCAACTGGGTGACTTTGGGCCAGTCACAGACTCTCAGCCCAACCTACCTCACACGGTTCTTGTTGTGAGGATAACATTGAGAGGAGAAGGAGAATTATGTAAGCCACCCTGAGTTCCTTGGAAGGAAAAAAGGTAGGAGATTAAGATAATATTGAAGAAACTAAAATATAGGCAATGCAATATACATGACACATCACTCCACTGAATTCAAAAAGCATGTAATATAGATGTGCATATATTACATTATGATTATGGCTGAGTGGGGGCAATTGGTGATTGGTGCATGTAACTCCTTGATGGGGCCATTTGTCTGTTTGCTTCACAGTTTCTTAGCACCCTTTTTGCCCCGTTGAACTTTGTGATGGAAAAAGTGGAAAGTATCCTGCCCTCCAGTCTCTGGCATCAGCTAACAAGGATCTGAAGCAAAGTAGTCCAGAATGGCTGCTGTGACATTTTCTGTGCCAACTTACTGTTGACTACCAGAAAGCATGATTTTTTTAAAAAAGGGAAGCTCTTCATGGATTGTCTGTTATCATATAATTTTTGTTGTACAAAAACATTGATGTTTGGTTCTATTCTATTTTGCTTTCAAAACAGAAAAAAATCTTTAAAAAATAAACTTTTTGTGTACTGCAGCAATTCAGTCTTGTGCAGTTTTGTTTATATTTCCTGCATTAAAGCTCAGCCAACCTGATTCCTTGATGTAGGGGCACATGGAAATGTGACTGGCCGTTGACTGAAGTTCGAACAAACAGCACAGGAAGGGAAAAAAAACCCTTTTAATCATCTCTGAACAGGCACAGCATTTATGCTTAAAAGTACTATTACAGTCAAAGTCAATGAGGGAAATGCTAATTAACCATATTGATTCTGTGTAATAGACCCTGTGTTGTTGGTAATGAGGGGTATTTGGACCTAGGGCAATGGATCAATGTTTCTACACTTATATTAGCTAATAGCACTGCTGTCATATTCTACTGTAATGCCCGGGAAATATTAGTCATAAAAATAACTATGCACTGTGTGCCTAAAGCAGTCAAACTGAAAAAAGGCTGATAGCCTTTCCAAACATTGCTGGAAATGGTGTCAAGCATCTCCTTTGTACATAAACATAACATATGGAAACAATAAGATTCTGGCATGTTTTAGTGTGTCAACAGAACTGTAGGAATGCTTGAACATTTGCATGCTGGCAGTAGCATATTTTCCTTACATAGATTATTGCTTGGATCCATCTTGTTGACCCTATAATCCACAAACCAGGCAGGTCAAGATGACATTGTTTTAAATCAAGGTAGCCCCATAACAAAGGGGCTTAATAAGATTATTCAGATTTAACAGTTTTTCATCCTCTTAACAGGATTTGTGGCTCAGACTTTCACCAGCATTTCACCATAAATGTGAATCTAGATCAGGGGTCTCAAACTCACGGCACGCGGGCCAATTGCCAGGACGGGTGGGGCATGGGGGAGGGGCCCTGCGGCCTTCAAAGTGCCGGCGGCGCCCGGGCCGGCCTCCGGGAGCGACGCGGGATGAGCGGCCCACCACCACCGCGGTGGTGGAATACTTGATGCGGCCCAGCCTCACCCAGACTCTACTTCCAGCGGCCCCCAGGTCAGTTGAGTTCGAGTCCCCTGATCTAGATGCTTATAGAGATGCTTCAAAAATTTAGGAAATTCGTAACTGACCTCAGAAAACAAGTTGCTTATGGGCATATTCACTTAGTTATCATCCAATTCTCAACCAACTTTGCACAGTTCTATGTTTTTAAGAGAAATTCAGGAAATGTGCCTAGGGATCTTAAAATCTTAAGTGTTCCCATGGTCAAACAGATTTAGACCATATACAAAAGGCAACTGGAAACTATCTATTTATTTCCATACACACAACAGCCAGAGCTCTCTAGATTTAGCAATATACCTGCCTATTTAACAGCATACTAAAAAGCAGAGACATCACCCTGGTGACAAAAGTGCGTATAGTCAAGGCTATGGTTTTCCCAGTTGCAATGTATGGCTGTGAAAGTTGGACCATAAGGAAGGCTGAGCACCAAAGAATTGAGGCCTTTGAATCGCTGGAGAAGACTCCTGCGAGTCCCTTGGACTGCAAGGAGATCAAACCAGTCAGTCCTAGAGGAGATCAACCCTGACTGCTCTTTAGAAGACTGGATTCTGAAGATGAAACTCAAATACTTTGGCCACCTAGTGAGAAGGAAGGACTCACTGGACAAGAGCCTAATGCTGGGAACAATTGGCGGCAAAAGAAGGGGACAGCAGAGAATGAGGTGGCTAGATGGAGTCACTGAAGCAGTCGGTGTGAGCTTAAGTGGACTCGGGGATGGTGGAGAACAGGAAGGCCTGGAGGAATGTTGTCCATGGGGTCACAACTTCGCGACTAGCAACAAAGCCTTGGGACAGAAAGTTGGACTAGATCATACCTGCAAGTCACCTGCAAAATGGCAGCCCTCTTTCATTTTTATGTCATTTTATCTTGCCTTATATGGCTTGTAATGGAAGAGGAAATAAGGGCAGGTTCCTCATATTGTATGACAGTTAAGTGGCAGGATTTGGACAAATGCAGATTCTCATGCAAGCATGGAAAACATTGTGTCAACTAAAATTATACTGTTTACATAAGGTGTGTTGTTCTGTTTCAGCTATTCCCTTGCCATTCTCTCCTTCCCGCTCTAATCTGATTCACATCTAGGCAGTAATGTCTGGGTTGTTCCTGACAATGCAAACCTGCTGTTGTGAGTCCAACTCGTCCTTTTTTGTCCTAAGCTCCAAGACACTAGACTTGCTTCAATGCAGATCTTTATTGACACTTCAAAGCTAACAAGACAATGCAACTCTAGTAAGCTGAACAATAGCCTCTGGTCATGTAAGAGTGGATAAGAATTCAACCCAAACTGGAAACTTTCTGGCTCCAATCGTTCCCTTTCAGTTCACACTGCAGGCTGGCTCTTGCTGGTGGAAAGCTAGCTGGGGAGACCTACACAAGCCCTCTAACTGGGTAGCTCATCTCTCCTGACATCTCATCATAAGCTCAGAGACCAGGTAAGACAGTGGCTCTCCCTCTTCTCGCAAGTCTCCTCCAATCTCTTCCAAAACATGTCTGCTCTCAAGGTCGGCCTGGGAAACTGTGGGCAACAACCTTGATGGGGCTTCAAAGGATTCTATTCCCCTTTAATACTCCTGCCCTCCCACTACCCTTTTCCAGAGTGTTTTCCCCTTTGAAATCCAAAACTTCACCTTTGGGTTCATCGGAAGTTGGCGAAGATTGAGTCCCTAGCTCACTCATGATGCCCTGGGTTGTTTAACCCACAAACCCAGTCTTAACTCATTTGTAAATTGGAGAATAACCCCAAAACAGGGCACTCCTAGATTATTAATTAAAGGGGAAATTACTTGTCCACTCTACTTGTCCCCACAATTTCAGGAATTGTTGCTGTTTTGTGTGAACTGGATCTCCCATATTTTTGCTTTCTTAAAAACAAACAAAAACCTAATACCCAGAGAACAGTAAGAAAATGAGTGTGGTGCCATTTCAGGTGGCCCAAAATACAGCTACAAGGCTCATTAACTTGAATACAGCATGCTTGCATTAGATAAGCTTTACTGGCTGCCAATCTATTTTTGAGCATTAATCATAGTGCTGGTTTTAACTGTTAAAGTCCTTAAATAGTCTGGGACAAGATTTGAAAGATCACCTATTCCCACATTATCATTACAGGCACAACTCTGGGTAACTTTCACTTTGAGATGGTAACCAAGAACAGGGTTTTCTCTTGGTGGCCCCTCACTTACGGAATCACCCCTCTGTCAGTTTGCATGGTACTAAATGTGATGCCTTTTAGACACCAGCTTGAAAGGGTTTTTGCTTTCCTAGACTTTTCATGTTCTTTGTATCAGCTTTTAATTGGCTGTTGAAAATACTGTTGCTAGTAAAAAACAGCATTTGAATTGTCATGGGATTTTTTATTAGTTTTACTTATATGCTGTTAATAGTTTATTAAAAGATCAGGAACTTATTTCAGAGAACTATGGCAGGAGAAGGCATATGAAGCTGCTTTTGTTGGTATCTGATTTATCCATTTGATGGTTGGCATTTTTATATTAGAAAAGATCACTGACCTATATTGAACATTTACAGGAGGCTGCATGAAATGTAGTCTTTAAAACAGAGTTTCAGAATACAAAGGCAGTGCTCTATTTTTTGCTACTGCAATGCTATCTTGATGTGAGCAAAAGCTCACGTCAGACTTTGCAGTCTGAAAAACCTTGAGTTGAAACTTCAAACAATGAATGTAATACAGCTTTACAGAAGAGGAAAACCAAGAATGCCACCTCATCTTGTAAGAGTTAACAAAGCCTGACATATGGCATTGTGTTTGTTACAAAGGAGTGTGGAAAGTGATTTTTCCCCTGGCAATTATTTGTAGAAAGAGAGCGGAAAATGCTCTTTTGCAACACAATCAATTGCAGAATTGAAAAGGTGGAGGAAAATCTCCAGAAAACAGGACAGTCATTATGTATCAGGATCAAAAGCAGACAGTGGAAAATTCATTGCATTCAGATCTGCCTTGTAGCACTGGAAAGCCTCTATTTGGTATCCACCCTGCACATTCCTCAAACGCCCAGATGACTTTTCCATCTATGAAAGATGCTCTGCTTTCTCCTATTGTATTTTGAAAGACCTGCATGCTCACCAAGAATATTTTATGCACTTGACAGTAAAAGCACCTTTAAGTTTCTCCTGTCCTATTTTTGTGCTCAGCTCGAGGTACTTGAGGTAAGAAAACTGATGGGCTACTTTTAATGCACATATACATTCTAGCTAATTTTGCAACTGCAGTACAGACCATTTGGTAGGAAGTAACTGGTCTTCGCTTCATGCACACTGAGACTCCTAGATTCTAGAGGCATGGAAGATCAGATAAGCAGGCTTGGCTCCAGATTTCAGGAGGTCCTCTGATAAGATGCTATCGGCAGGGTAGTCTCCTTAAATGGGCCCAACCACATTGCCACAGTAATCAAGCCTATGCCCAGAAAGAGTGGCCAGACAAGTGTTGCTCCCTTGACTTGTTCCTGTTGCTACAACTGAGCAGGCAGCAGCAGCATCCCCCTTGTTGGGGGGCTGGTCTTGGCAGGTGACCAAGTGCCATGGCCTTGCAACTAAAGGGGAAGGATAGCCATGAGGTGCCCAATCCTGCCTAATCTTGGAAACTAAGCAGGGTTGGGCCTGGTTGAAAGTTGGATGGGTGGCTTAAAATGTTGTGAACCTCCAGAGAACTTTGGCTATAGAAATATAAAATAATCTTAATCATAATCATAGGATATTTTCACATCCTTTCTGAAGGGTCCCACACACTGAGCATCAACAAAGTTTGCCCCACTGCACAGGCAGTGTGAGGACAACTTCCCTTAAAAGTGCTGCTGATACTACCTGTGCATGCAGTATAATTTCCACTCAATTCGACCACCAAGTGGCAACATGTCCTGAAATCGGTCAGGATGGAAAGACGACAAAGGTCTCAGCAAGGGTATGGCCCTAGGGAACAGAGGTAGCATGAGCAGGGGAAAACCGGTGGTTTTCTTCTCCACTTAAGAATAATACACGTTTTACTAATTATTAA